ACGGCTATAGTATCTATAGCCAAAGAATAATGCCGTGGTTGCTGTTGACCTCCACAATCGACGGTTTACGCGCCAATTTTTGAACGGAGCATTTTGTTATCATTAATGAATAATAATTATTATTTGTTACCACGGTCCACGGACTAAGATATATGTTTATTACTTAAGGGGGGTTCACACTACACCGTGTCGTGTAAAATAATCACGGTTACCACAGTTACCAAACGATACCGCATAGTTGAATATATTCAACTTTTGACCGTGTGGTTACATTTATGTGCAGATAAAGCCGGGTTCATACTTAATATAACCACACGGTCAAAAGTTGAATATATTCAACTATGCGGTATCGTTTGGTAACTGAGGTAACCGTGATTATATTACACGACACGGTGTAGTGTGAACCCGCCTTTACTTGTTAGGTTATATTTTAATATTTATTGGAATAAGGGATTTATCTAATAATATAAATACAGAAGATATTTTAAATGTATTTGCCGAAAAAGAACGGAGAATTTTGTTAAAATAAATATATTCTAAAAATGTAATACTTTGTATTTTTATATATCCGTAACGATAGTTGCTCAGTGGGTGGGGGATTTTATGGAGAGCGTTTCCCTCCAACATTTGTTTTACTTATATTAAGACCTTTGTGGAGGGGGGCTTGAGTCCCCCCAAAAAATTTAGTCAATTTGCGCCTATGGTCCCGACCCATCGCTTATCAATCTCCACTACAACTCTCATCACAACGGTGGTACGAGCGCTTCCCCGCAGTAAGGCATTTGGCTGGCTTATCATAATATAATAACGTTATCATAGAGTTAATCTGCTACAACAGTTAAATTTTTTCTGATCCTATCTAAAAATAATAATTATAATAAAATTGGTTTTTTACGCTTAATTCAAGTATTTGAAAAAATTTCCGGAAACTTCAAAAGTTATGGCAATTCAAAGTTGTCAATATTAAAAAATATAGGTACTTTTGAATGGACGAGCGAGTGACCACGCTGGGAATGAATATACTTAGAAACAATATTGAGGAAAACCGAGGTTTACCTGAGGTAGTTCACACAGCAAATAGGGGGATATTTTCGATTTGCGGAGCGGAGCGACGGCGCCGAGGAGCGTAGCGACGAGTGCCGATACACGCGTAATCGCTGCAACTTTGATATGCCATAACTTGTGAGAACAGTGAGTTTCCGGAAATTTTTGTAACTGGGAAACGGTGTAGCTGGTGGTACACAAATTTAAAAAGTTTGAGAACCGCTGGTCTAAAGCCCTGTTCACACGATCAAATAATTTGTCAAATATTTGACATTCGTCAAACTCCAAATATTTTAGAACCATTTCTAAAATATTTGAAGTTTGACATACATCAAATATTTGACAAATTATTTGATCGTGTGAACGGGGCTTAAAGAAACTAAAAATTATACAATACAAACTATTACAAATAATACATTTCATTTCTATGTATCAAAATTAGAAAATTCTGAATTTTACATATATTTATATTTTTTTGAATTCTATGTTAACCTTATTATTTGATAAGCCAGCCAAATGCTTTACTGCGGGGAAGCGCTCGTACGGTGGTGGCGGCAGCAACGACGACGTACGACGATTGGCGATTGCGGCGGCGCGGTCTCTCGGATGCCGGTCGCCGGCAACCATTTACCTTATACCATTTCGTATATTGCTGACAAGTGACGAACAGCAAGACGGTATATAGATTATAGGTACTTTCTTAAATCGTGCTGACGACTCAACGACTGTGATTGTTTAGTGAATTCGTGATCCACCGCGACGGTATTTTATTATTATGCTGAAAACTTGGAACAATAATAAAATAAGCAATCTGGTGATAAATTCATTGCCCGTGGCAACAATTAAGGTCGATGGCAAATCATATGCTCTTAATTCTTGTGATTTGCCATCATGGTCCATCTATGACTCAAGTCTCAAGTCCATTACACATTAGTTATTAAACATAATAATAAAATATAGGTTAAATGTAACGATATAGGTAATATTTATATTATAGTTTTAGAAAAAAAAAACTAAAATAAAAAAAAAGATATAACAACAGGAGGCCAACGATGCATATTATGCTATTATGGATTATTAATATTATATACAGTCAAACAAAATCGAAACTTATTTCATAAAAAAAATAGTCGATATCACACCAAAAAACCTTCGTTAGAACTCCGTGTAAAAAAAAACCAAATTAAAAAGAAAAAAAATTAGTAATGATTAAATCTTTAAAAAGCGTGATATAATATGGAAATTAAGTAAAATGCCATTTTATAATATTACAAATACCTATGATGACAAATAAGATCAATTGTAATGTTAAATACTTAGTCAACATATTATGTTTAACTATTTGGCGGGACGTAGAAGCATACTTAAATAAATACAATTAAGTAACCATTACAGTATTTACAGTAATTAATAATGTATCAACAATATGTTGTCTAAGTATTTAACATTACAATTGATCATATTTGTCATCATAGGTAGGTATTTGTAATATTATAAAAGGGCATTTTACTTAATTGCCATATTATATCACGTCTTTTAAATATTTAATCATTACTAATTTTTGTTTTTTAAACTTAGCTTTTTCTTTACACGGAGTTATAACGAAGTGTTTTTGGTGTGATCATGGTTACTATAACTATTACTGAGAGTCTGAGAAATAATATGATACCGGGAACTGTAATTTCCATTTGCTTTGAATTTTAAATCATCTTTTACTGTCTTAAGTTTTTAGTTATTCATTGCTATAATGACTTTTCTACTGTTACACCGCCACCTTCTGGATGTTTTCTTCGGAAGTAGCAATATAATAATAGCTGCTTAGCATAGACTGACTTTTATTTCTTCTCTGTACAGATCCTATATATACATTTACAAATTACAATCTATATTATATCATATAGCTAGGTACCTACTACTTCCAGTGGTGCCCAAGTACCACTCGCGTCACCCGCCAGACCAAACATTGACCAAAAATATTTATATACATATAATAATTAATTATAAATTAATCATATCACAATGTCCATTAGGTACTTGCAACGCGTTATACATCAACAACGAACCCTGATACTATCATAGATATAAAATAGTGTACTTTAGAAGTTTCCAGTATACTCACGAATATTATTATACAATCACAACAAAATAACTAAAAAAAGTTATTCAAAGGTTTTTTAATATGTAACTTTGTCCAAATTTGAACTTAAAATGACTATAAAAATAATCTGTGTTTATGTATTTTTTAGATTTTTTGGTAACAGAATTAAAAACTTACGTGGAATCTTGTTTTAAATTTTCAATCCTTAGATATAAAAGTTGAACATTTTAAAAATTTTTAACTAGGTATACAAAATAATTATACAATTTTAAATTTGATAAATTTTGTCAAAATTCGATCTTTAAATGTTCATAAAAAAAAATTGTGCCTATGATGTATTTTTAATATTTTTCAACTGATATTGTAACAATATATCAGGAGCCTTGTATTAAATTTTTACACTTTTTAGCCCAACAAATAAAACTTTATTAATATTTGTTGAAAAAAAAAAAAAGTAAAAAAATTGAAAACTGTAAATGTCCGTAAACAGCTCAAAAAATTACACCATATTGTAGTAAAAAATTATAACTAGCAAACATTTTTTTTTCATAAAATATGATGGTATGACACTGGTACAACAAAAATCTGCAAAAATAATAAATAACATATTATATTGCTTTAAAATGAAAAATTATTTACCTAATTAAAAAAAAATATATTGATGAATATTCTTATTTAAACCCGGTAATTTTTTTTTTATTTTGATATTTTGTCCTATACATTGGTTATTTTGACTATTGGATACTTTAGTAATGAATATTTTGTTCTTGAATATTTTTAAATTACAACAGAATAACTAAAATTGTTATTCTTTGTTTAAACAACTAATTTCGTCCAAATATTAACATAAAAATATATAATGTCCATGGAAAAAACTACGTTTAAATATTTCTGAGGTTAACAAATAATATTCAGTCTAATATTAGCCAATTTTTAAGTTAGAACATTCAATAATATTATTTATAATATATCTTTCTCCATTTTTATTTTTATGGAACTTTGAAGAAGATATAAACATGATTCACTATATTAATAAAACTAAGTATATTTTGTTTAAAAATAGTTAATACAATAATATATTATCAAAAATAAAATACAATATTAGATTATAATATAATCACACCATATGGCATATGCAGGTATAAGAGTGTTGTACAAAATTTAAAAAGCAGTACAAATTATTTTTCAGGATTTTAAATACCTACCCATATAGTATTACATACACTTAGTTATTATAATAAATTGAATTTAATTAATACTTAAAAAATTAAAATTATGAGATGACATATTAATATAATATGTATAATATCCTATTTGGGCTCCAGGCTGTATTATAATAAAATAAAAAATAAGTAAACATAGGTAAAATAAAAAAATAATGCGATTGGTATATAATTTTTTGAGACAAAAGTTCTTGTTACTCCAATCATTTTTTAGGTAAGACAAATAAAATGTAAATAAATGTTTCATACAAAATATACAATAAAAAGCATTAAAATAATATTTTTGTTAAATTAAAATAAATAATAACAATATTATGTACGACTTGACATGGAAATAAAATATAAAAATAACATGGCTATATATATTATATCATCAGCAATTTTTTTTCAATTTTTTTAATACCTTCATTACCTTCATTAATATCACTAGATTTAATACATTATTGAGTTGTTCGTTAACAATTCATCTAAATTCATAATGCTTCTATTGGTCTAAAAAAACAATATAATATATACAATTAAGTTTTTATCCTAGTAAAATTTAGAAAAGGTGAAATAAACATTAAAAACAGGTAATTTGGACATTAAACTTGCAGCAGAATTTTCCGGATTGATATCAAGTCTTGAATTTTCCATCATTTTACTGAGTTGTTCATTAATGTTTCATCCAAATTAATGATGCTTCTATTGGCCTGGTAAAAATAAATTTTAAAAATCAATTTTACAAAATATTTCATTAAATACCAACCTAATGTACATATTACTAATGTATATTACTATCACACTATCACTATCAGTTATATTTTTTTAAATTACCAATTAATCAACATTTAGATATAGATTACTCTGTGGGTGTCTAAATTAGAAGACACCAACTCTGGGGTTCCCACAACATTGTGTCGTGTACAGTGTTGTGCTCCGTATAATTTATGTTTCAATTATTCTCATTTATCAAATATTCTAAATTTAAGTTTTAGTATTTGTACTTTGTAATGTTAATAATTGTTAACCTAAGTATTGGTATGTCATGTAGGTGCCTACTCATGTTTGTTGTTCTTTGTAATTATTGTCAATAGTCAATTTACTTATTTCTTGTTTTAAAGTTTTATCAACATTTCCTATTCTGAACCCTTTAAAATAAGAATTTGAACCCTTAGAATTGTATAACATAATATAACTAGAATATTGGTATGTTATAAATTGCAATAATATTAATTATCATTCAATATAAGTCCTGAAAAAATTCCAATGAATTTAATAGTACCTATTAATTATAATCTAAAAAAATAATAAAACTGTTACAGATTTACAAATTAATAACAGCAACATTTTCCTTTATATAAACTACCTGAATATACGCATAATTGTATACAAGAAATATAAAAACAAAACAAATGTACCTACTGAAGTAGATAGGTATAGCCTTTTTTACAAATGTATAGTACCTATAAATTAATAATAGGTATATAAATAATAATATAATATTTTATGTGAGTACTCTGTCATTGAATATGTCAAATGGGTCTCTCTTGATAATCTATTAAAAAACAATTATTATAATTATTTATATGTACCTGTTTTCTTAAAGCAGAAGCGGTATCTTTCCAATTCGCATCTAGTTGGAGATGTAACTTAACCAATTTGGCTGGGTCAACGAATAGTGAACAAAACGGGCATTTAAGTACAACATCTTGGTTTAAAAACCTTGAAACAATGTCATTAAGTTATATTTTAGTACCCATTTATTCTAAATTATAAGTATGATGAACAATTTGCTATAAAAAATAGTCAATTAAAAATAACTAAATAATATACTACGTTATATTAAATAATATTGGTGCCTACTGCTTGTTGAAACACATTCTAAGGCATTCAGCATGGAACAAATGACCGCATTGAGTTGTGAATACAGATTCCTCGTATATGCCGGTAAATACGGCATTGCATACTCCACAACAAAACATCTTGCACAATCTTATATTAGGTAAACTTTAATATTTAATAAAACGTACATCCTTCATCCGTACTCTGTAGCTTTTACTAGACAAATTTTATATTAATGGCATATTTATTTACCTAACTAAATAAGTTTTAGATTAAAATATTAAATGCTGATATAGCCGATATAGGTACTAATTAAGTTATACAGTATATTATATCTATGATAATAAATTATAATAATGAGACATAATTTAAGATATTAATGTATAATGATATTAATGATAAAATTATAAGTTGTCATGGGTTAACTGTGATGGTTATATTGTTATATTATAATAATAATAATATGTGCATTTAGAGTGCATAGGCATAGGTACACATAACACTAAATTAAAAATTAGGTATATTATTATATGAATTGGTAATAGTGTTATTACTTATTAGTTATCAATATAATATTATAATGAAAAATTATAAATGATGATTGAACTAATGAGGTAATTATAGAGTTGATTATAACTTATTAGCGTGGAAACTGGAAATATAAACATGGATAGACTTTGGATAAATGGTATCTTTACTATGGTTACTCGAAGACCTTTGATATTTTTTTTTTAAATATCATCTTTTCCATGTTATCACAGTTTAATTTCAAATTTAAATTCAATCATTAGTCCACCAATTTCCCTTCTTTCCTCTGTTCTAAATAAATTTATCACTAAAGAAGGGAAATTGGTGGACTAATGATTGAATTTAAATTTGAAATTAAACTGTGATAACATGGAAAAGATGATATTTAAAAAAAAAATATCAAAGGTCTTCGAGTAACCATTTAACAACCATTATTATATTATCGTAAAAACGTATCTATATTAATAGGAAAATATTATATTGTGTAGTCACCAAGCAATTATTGTCACAATGATAAATTGGTAATTAGTAATTGTATTAATAGTTGGTATACTACTATATTATATTAATTAAATTAGATTAAACACATGAGTGGACGTGCCTGAAATTGGTAGGTATGCACAATGCATGTATTTTATGAAGGAAAAGGGGCATAATAATATATAAATATGTGTTTGCAGCTATTGCAAGGTGCAAGCGGTTGGGGCTACTCATTTGGGCTGGTCCATAAACTAAGATAATTATCTAACTATTGAGATACCTATCATCTTAGTTCATGGGCTGGCCAAAACTTTTGGCTCTTCTATTAAAAACTGAAATTGCGCTACTCATAGGTATGTGATGATAAAATGAAATTGACATGCATATTTTAAGTAAGAAGCCATTAGTGACACCATGACAAATTTAACTTGGTTTATCATGAGCGACACTTCACTGGGATTGTCTTTCGGTTCAATCAAAATATAGTCAATGGGTCCAAGATCCGTGGAACGCTAGCTGTTTATTGACGATTGAAAGTTATAATATGTAACGACTAACGGGGAAGCTCTGTATCATTTATATTATGTTATTTTACATGTTCGATGTTCCCCATAGGCATATAAATATTTAAATATCGAGAAAATTTGCGAGCTATGAGCACTTTAAGATCTATAAACAATTTACAATTTGGTCTGGTCCCATAAACCGCTGCAGTATTTTGTTTTGGTTTACTTCTTAAAATGTCTAAAAAATCAATTATTTAATTTTTAAAGTATTAAATTTGAGTCGAAAAAATGATAGTCAAATAAAAGTTGACACTAAATATATTATATCTACAAATAATGCAATGGAACAATTGAATAAATGGTCTTAATATAATTAATAAAACTAAGTGGTCTAGGAAACCGCACCATACCTACCGGCTACCATAGGCGTAATTTTTGTTCATCGTATCTACCACAGAATAGATTACATCTATTAGAATAGATTTAATCTATTCTGTGACCGTACCACTTACGGGTTAAGTCACTTTTTAACTTTTGAAACTACCTATAGTAACTTTTTATCATATTATAGAATAGCAACCCTGCTACAGCCAATACCAGGTTATAATGAGCAACATTTCTGGAGTAAGCCTATTACGTATGATCAATATCATGTAAACAAGAGTTTATACATTCGTATTCAAGATTGGATGAATAATGTTCCACATATACCAGATTCAGAAAATAGTAAGTAAGTATAAATATAGTAAGTAAAATGTTTTGTTATATACCTACCTAATTTTTTTCTAATTAATAACATTGATGTCTAAGGGAAGTGAAAACTACCTGAAATACCTTTAGAGAGTGATTAAAATCACCAAGTTATATTTTTTATTATTTTTGATTAGGTATCTACAATTAAAATATTAAACTTACTTACTATTATATAATTCATCCACATATTATAATGTACCTACTAATGTAAAACGTCCAACACAATATTTATGATCAGAGTTCATGGAATGAGTATCTAAATTAATTAATTATTTATTTATTATAGGTAGTTTATCAAAGTATAATATTATGTAGATACTTTTATACTTAATATGAAGTTTTTAAATTCATGGAAATATATACATAGATCTAATTGAAATGCAAATGTATATTTTACATCAATAATTTTATTTAATTACCTAGTTATTTCTAAGTAGTTAGGTATCAAATTTTGTATTATAAATGTAGATGAATAAAGTTAATTTTGGTTGTTTATCCAACATAAACACACTATTTTTTAAAATGTATTTTTAATTATTTCTATGAATTCATGCTTAAGACGCTGGTGTCATTGTGATTTGAATAAAACGTATAATTTTTTACTTATAAACTAATTAACACGTAAACCACCATATGCCCGCCGGCGGCCGTACAGCAAAATTCAAATTCTGTACTTTTATGCCCGCTGGCGCAAATAGTTGATCATTACTATCACGCCACATGACCGCCGGGGGCCGTAAATGAATATGGTTTTATGTTATAGACTTTTCCATGGCGCTACAATAATGCACCAAAAAAGTGCTGTGGCGCAGAGCGAATCATAACGAATTTTTCGATGTAAAAAATTTTTTTTTTGTATTTTTTAAAATAAATAGTATACAATACAAATTTGGAATGACACTGAAAAATACACTTGGCGTACAGATGATGCGTAATCGTGTGACCGGGAATATGGCGGTTAACGTGTTAAGAGGATATCTGCAGCGCACCATATTTTGTTTTCTCCCTCTGACTCGAGCGTAACAGCAAATTCAAGTTTAACAGAATTTTAATATTAGAGTGAATTCGTCTATCATCAAACGTTAAGCTAAGAACAGTAAGAACATTACCTAACATGTCCCTTCGTTGACTTTTTTACAATATTTCAATGTTTATACAATTTATAAACATTTTTAAAATGTAATATTTGACACGCTCATAACTTACATAAAAATGAAATCACGATAAAATAAGCAATGTAGGGACACAGGTAATGTTCTTAACATAAAGCTGGTTCTGCTAAACGTAAATTTGCTATGTCAGAGAGAGAAAACAAATATTGTGCTGACATCCTTTTAAGGTTAAATAGTTCCATATCTTTCTATAATATCTAATTTGGGTTAACTGTGTGTCAAAACAGTCTCGGAAGGGGAACTGCCGCACATATTGGTGACGAAATAAGTCTGCTATGTATTATGGAACGTTTATTACCTATGTACAAGTTTGGTCTCCTTATAAATATCGAGAGTCTGGACTCCACTAGTCTATTATTTATGGTTCTGATGTCTAATGTCTAGCCAAGCTTGCTAACTTTCCAAAATCTTGTAGTTATTGTCATACTCAGTCCTTTTGCATTTTCGGTTCATTTTGTTTGTTTTATTGTCTAGACATTTTTTAGATGATGGCAGAAGCCCAATTGGCCATGGCCAAAAATAAAGTTTCCAAGAAGTTTTGAAGACTTTTATTAGTTACCTGGATATTCGCATTGAGTATGACAAATACAAAAGAGTCTATTGGATAGTCGGATGCTATTACGCAAGCTATTAATTAGTAAACATAAAAGTCATACATTCTTAATACAATTATTTTCTGACTATAAAAGTGAGTTTAATTAAACATTTAATTCAAAGTGGACTAGAATTTTAATTTATTTTTATGTAATAATACTTTTCCTGGACAACTGCTGGACACTCACAGAGTCACACTGTGTATTCACATCAATATGGCATTTTTTTCATAACATAAGAGGGCCACATTGAAATATTCTATATACTTTATAATTGCCAAAAAATCAAACAATCTTGATTCTTTTTAGTTTTTTTAATATTCGTATATACTCAGCTCACCTTGGTTGATTGCTATTTACAAACTGAATTAATATATATTTTTTAGGCTAATTATATCTAACTAATGATTTTTCGGCCTGTAAGAAATGTGTGCACTGAATCTGCAGTCTCTTAATTTCCTTAACTGTGTGTATTGCTACTAGGTCATGGGTAAATTAAAATATATTATATCAACATTATTTTCAATATTTACATACTTTGAACAAATGAATTATGTGTGTTAGTATTTACGCTTTTTTTAATGTAGTAATTATGCTTTAGGCATAATAATTCTTATAGAACAATAACAATATATGGGACTTATGGTTACATGATACGTTTAATTCATGTAAAATGTTTACGAATTCTTAACTCAAAATAATTTTCGTGATTTTTCCATATTTTGTCAATTTTTGAACTTTAAATGCTTATAAAAAAAAACTGTGACTAAGGATTTTTAATATTTTTCATCTGCCTTTGAAACGATATACTAGGAGCCTTCTATTTTTAACCAACAAATAACATTTTATTGATATTTTTAGAAAAAAAACTAAAAAAAAATGGAAAATAAAAAAGTCCCTTAGGTAACAGTTCAAAATAAATCAAAATATTTTGAAATTTTATCGTGCATAGAAAATGCAAATATAAACAACCAGTGAATATTTCATGTATCTACGATCATTTGTTCTAAAGTTACATTATTTCGACTACTTATCGTGTACACAGACACAAAAATAAAAATAAAAAAAATTAAATAAAAAAAGACACACATCGTTGTAAATTCAATACATTAATCGTTCTACTCAGAATCTAAAATTAAGTATACATCCAGAATAAATTATTATTAAAGTAAAATATTGTGGCACAGTGGCTGAAATCTATCATGCAACATGATTGAGAGTAAGCAACGGCCGCTGCTACTAGTTCCCTGAAGGGTGACCACCCGGGTCCATAGTGGCAAAAACCTAGCCACACATATAAGTGTTCCTAACCAACCACAATCCCTACAATAGTTAATGGCCATAGTTATAACACTAATTTAAATATAATAATATAGTAAAAAAAATATGAAGTCACTTGTTGTGAGGTCCTAAGAAAATACCACTTTTTTTTATTACACACAATTCAAAGTAATGAACAATTCTGTAATAATTCAATGTATTGCCCACATTATGTTTCATTTAGAAACATTAAATCTCAATTAAACTATTAATAACATAATATGTAACTTCAATACTTGGTAACATTTTTTATTAATAACTAAATTCTAAAATATACATTTTACAATCATTTTTACAATAAAAAAATTCCAGTACCTATTTACTAGTACATAGGATTTGTTAATTGCAAATTTACATAATTATGTAAATTTTTGTGTACTATCAAATTTCCGTTCACTATTTGGCTTCATGTAAACAAAACCATTGAAAAAATCTTTACCAGACATTGTTTTATGTCCAGGAATTTTAAGTTTTTCAATAGACACATAACCTCCTTTTCCACCACATTTAACAGATAATTTTTGTCTTTGCTTATCATATACTAAATCTCCTGGTTGTAACTGAGTTTCTGCATTTGACATCTGATAATTGCATACTTTCAACAGCTTTACAGATGTCCCATGCCAAGTGGTTATTAATGGCCACAAGCCACATAATGCTCGATATTTGTTATAAACTGAATTAGAATCCGTAACATTCCAATCAATAATGGATAGTGATTTGTCCACTTTGGGTGCTATAACATTAATTTAAAATCAACGATTAAATATTTATTTTAAAACTTTGAAATATAATTATACCATTAATTATAAATACTATCAATGATTATACTAATGGTAAATTATGATATAATTTGCATATTATTTTCAAAAACCCATTACATTTAGTGAAATGTTTAATATACTTTTAGCTTATGATAAGACATAAAATGTTGAATCATAAATTTAACATGGATTTTAACAATCTTATTTTGAATAGGTACTTTAAAAAAAGTATCTTAAATGTTTTAGTTATTACATGTATTACCTACATGTCACTAATTTTCAATAATGCTTTAATTTTTATATGCAAAATTTTAAATTAGAACATAATGAAATATAAAAAAAATTATACTTTTTTAGAGGACAGTACTATCTCATAATACCACGGTTAATTTTACAGGTTGGCGTACACTGGTGTGCTGCCTGTACATAAATAAGATCTATGAGATGAATGTAGTAACAAACCACAAGTTTATGTGTAGTTATGTAGAACAAAGTATTATAAAATGTATGATGAAAAAAATTATTACCTGAAAATGTGGTTTGTCAGTTCTTTTAACAAGAAAATTTGAAGTTTTCAAAAGTTTCTAAATTATTTAATATATATCAAATATTCTTTAGATTTAAATATTTATAATTGCTAAGACGTTTTTTATATAATATTTCTTTGTTTGTTTTGCTAGTTGTTTGAAAAATAAAAAATACTTATTTTAAAATTAATATTTTAAACTACTTAGAGTTTATACTAGTGTATAATTTAATTCTGCAATGACCATAAGATGGATTTTCATGTGTTTAGTAAATCTCATTATTAATAATTTATTATGAATTTGTATTTATTCACCTGATTAAACAAGTTAAGACACTTCTAGATGGGCTTCATGACTATAATACTGAGGATGGTAGGAAAACGTCTCTGGGGAAAAAAAGTGTTGGGGTAAAAGTCTGTTTTCTAAAGATAATATCAAATCACAAAATCAAGCGATATAGTAACAGCATTTTCTGTTTTTATCTATTTAATAATAAATACAAAACAGATATTAAACAAAGATAATAGCTAATAATTACAAAATTATAAAAAAATATCTCATTGAATCTTAGTCAAAAATATTATGAAAAATTCTACATAATATTATCTATACCCCTAGTTAGAATGTCAGAATAGAAAAAAAAATATTACATAATTATAAAAATCCTAGTTGTATAAATATTTTTATCGTTGTAACTTTTAAAAATTATAGTTAATAGTTTTATGAACCTTTTTCCCCCGAGACTTTTTTTCCCCAAGACTATTTTTCCTTGAGATTTTTTTCCCCAATTTTTCCAATTTTAAAATTGAAAACTGAAAATGACCTTTAACAGTTCAAAACAAATCAAAATATTTTGAAATTTTTATAGTGTATACAAAATTATAAACAACCAGTTAAAATTTCATGTATCTACGGTCATTTGTTTTAAATTTACACAAAAAAATCCTGGTTTTCCTTAATTTTTCTTTTGTTTTTCACGGCGTTTTTGAAAATTACTAAGAATAATAAATGTTGACCTCCCCAATGCACCAACAATATTCACTTACTAATCGTGAACAAGATACTGAAGTTGAAAATCAAAGCATTATTTCGAATATTTATAGTGTACAGACACAAAAAAAAAAACACACATCATTGTAAAATCAATACATTCATCGTTCCACTCAGAATCTAAAATAGTATCATTAGTGTTTATTGGTCAAGAATGGAACATATAATTATGAATTATAAAATATTTATCAATGTTATTGCACTTGAGGTTGTGATATACCGCCCTGCACTTGAAAGTAAACTTTTTAAAGTTAACATATTTTATCACGTAAATCAAGTAAATGATTAACTTGCCTAGCTTGCTACATGTATTATAATAATTATAGTACCTACCTAATCAAATACATTAATATATTTAATTAATTTTTAAAATCATACCTATTAAATTTTAAAGTTTGTTATTCTTTTAAATTTATAAATATTTGATTTCACCATGGAGTTTATAAATATCTATGCTTATTTTTTATTTTGCATTGACAGCATATTCTAAATTCCCAACACAGAATAAATGTATCGTGAGGAAAATTGTTATTTAATTCCTCTATCTTGTGTTACCTACTAACCCCATAAACTTAAACTCAAATGGATTACCTATTATATTGTATTCATTGTTTGGTATCAACAAAAGCATTCATGCATAAAGGTTAAATGTATCCCACTTAGTCACAAATTGAGACTGTGCAGGTATAAACTTTACTGTTTGGTAAAAATCAATTTTCCATGTAATATATACATTATTACATAAATACAGCCACACATCAACTGACTCTGCTAGCGCTATTAGTTCACCATGGTTGCTGCATAGATCAACGATAACATAGTGTACGCCAACCTGTGTAGATAACCATTTCAAATACTTCTTTATTTTTAGCATTTGAAATCATCAAATTTTAAGTCTTAATTACTGTAGAAATATCTTTTATATTTTACCATAAGTTATGCCTTCTTCAGATTGTGGTACTGCGTACCTTAAACTCCTTGTTAATTCTTTAAATGAGTCAATTAACAAACGTCCACCCATGTCCGATAGTTTCTTCTTTAGTTCATCAGCTGTTTCATCTTTGTCAACTGAACAACTATGTTGTCTAACAATTTCACCAACATCAAACCTAAGAAATAAATTTAATATAGTCAACAAATAATAAATAAATAAAATAGCTATATATTTATAAATATTACTGACAAATATTTATTGTACATCATATATTATATACAGTTTATCCCAAAAGTCCTATAAGGTAGCTCTGAGAGTCCTTAACTAATCAATATATTAAACATTTTAAACAGGGATTTTTTCAACAGTTATCTAAGAAAATTCCAATTTAATGGCATATATTTCTTAGAGATGAAAGTTAATAAAACTGCATTTAAAATTATTTTCGGAACATACTGCAAATATTAATAAACAAATAATGTTATGAAATACCATGTAAAAATTAGTAAATTTACCTACGAGGATGGATTTTCATTATTGTTACTCCAGATGTTAAATCACCATTAAGTATAGTATATATTATAGGAGCAGCTCCTCGCCATCGGGGTAAAAGACTAGCGTGTACATTAATCATTCCTCTGAAACCAAATTAATACATTAATAATTGAAAGAATATTATATAGCCCTAAAAATTGAATTAAAACAATATAAATGTTGCATCTGTGTTACGAATTTACATCACTGAGTTTAAATTATAAAAACTTCATTCTTCCTACTCAAAAAAAATGCATTACAATTACAAATATTAATAATAATTAATATTTTTTATTAGATAATTGATTAAAATAAAACAATTTATTTATTTAAATCTTAATTAATTCTACCTAGTAGATGTCTCATCCATTTGGAATGTACAGCAATTTTATTTGTATATTTGTTTACTATAATTTTATAACTTTTAACAATCCTATGTATTTCAATATTGAACTTTGTAAACTGTGTCTTTTGGCAACCTGCATGGTGGGCAGTCCGCTTAATAAAGTTGTTATATATATAATAATATGTTTAGAAATGATATTGCATTCTTACTGAGGAAAACATCTTATAATTTTTTCCGGTATTAATCGTCCAAACGACACAACCACTCCAATATCATATTTTCCATCCAAGAGTGTTGTGTTAACAGGCCAATCGTATATATCTAATTTTTCTTCTTTTGCAAAACTTTTGACGTTGATGCCACTGCCAGTAGAAGTTGTGACAACATCTACCTTGGAAATTATAGTCTGTGTTCTCCTATAAAAAATGTTCTCAGCGATTAGGTAAATAAGATAATTTAATTTCACCACCTACACTATATAATGAGTATGATTACATTTTTGATGTGAGCATCTGGAGACTTTTGACCGAAAAATCATCATTGCCAAAGAACATTACGCGCCAAGGAGGACCTTTTGAACCGCATTTATTTTTTAATGAAACGGCTGAATGTGAGAATGAAGGTTTTCCTAACACTATAAGCAAACTTTTGTGAAACTTGAAACCACTTAACTTCAATAAATTGCAGTTCATTTTGGTAAAACTACCAATTCAACGTTAATTTCAAACATATAACTTACAAATAAAATTAATAATATATAATAATTGTGAAATAATATTAGGTAATATGGATCAAATTTTAATTATTTTCCGAATACAAGTCGAGTCACTCGGGTACATAACTTACTGCACAAGACGGTAACTACATTTATATTATTTATTATTATTAAAAAAAAATAATGTTGTTAAGTGATAAATGATAACAGATAAAATAATGATAAGGTTGCAGACTCACCACGGTTTAAGGTAGACAACTTTTTAAACCGTGGTGAGACCAACCATAATAATATAGGAAGGACGCCGAAGGCCGAACCCATATTATAAAAATAAAATAATATAAATAAATAAAATATATAATAAAATATATTTTTATATATCTGTGTGACGTACTGGCGTGTGCACTGTGGGTCTGTGCGCGGAACACGGCCGGCGGACGAAACGAAAAAATATGGTCCGGATTCCGGAATTATCGCCACTTATTGTCCTCGATCGAATATATATTGTGTTTCTAAAACTACACGATTTCTACTTTCTAGACAAAGAGATATTATAATTGTGTTAAAAAAATTCATTCGAATTTTATATACATAATGATAATATATCTATATTCTATAGCCTATAAAGGTAATAGGTATAATAGGTACCTAATATCAATGCACGCGTTTTATAACGATTCACCGTCACTGCCAACGAATTACGATTGTATGTCAGCATAATATTAAGCTTAAGCCTCAAATGTCCATAATATGTCCAGAATCTATTCGGAATATAAAATATTATTCTGGTTAAATATATTTAAAATGGCTAAATAAAATTGTATAATTTATTTAGTCATGACAGGGCTCAGGATTGACTTAAAATGTAGCAGAGTAATTTGGTACTATGGAAGTGTAGGTATTTTATTTGCTTATTAAAAAACGCTAGTGTAATCCAGTTTTTCTGGTTATTTTTGCTTTTTTTAAGGTTTTCTCCTGAAATTATTTTTAATAGAATTAAAATTTAATGCAAAATTAAATCATTCAATGCAATAATGACGGTATAAGATTTAATTTATTTCTTTATTTCTGTTTCCAAACGACTTGTTTTTTATGGTTAAAACGATGGTGTACATTTTTTTTACCCGAAACTTATTTTAGGAGTTATAGACCTATAGCCTTCCAAAGTTTGCAATTTTACGTTGATGTGCTTGCGTGAAACGCTACTTTGACTGCGACTCGCAGACTTGGATCATACATATACTATGGGCAGGCGCGGACTGGCTGGGATGCTGCGATGCTATACAGCATTCCTTGCCCTAAAATATATTTGCTTAATATTATTTATTATATATTTAAAGACTCTACTACTCTAGACACCTAATGAACAGCAGATTGTTAGGTACCAACTTACGATTACTAGTAATCTACTAATCTATAATATTGTACAATTTTGATTGAAAGTTTGTTATAAATTGGTACTTATTTACGTTTTAAACGTATATTCAATATTTTTTTAAAACAATCAACAAAATAAAATATATTAATATTTTATAAATAATCTACATGTATTAAATTTGCCCCAACAATTTTTGTTATTTTCCCTTTAAATTGTGTATAGCATCCCGTGCCCTATTTTACCAGTCCGCGCCTGACTATGGGATATGGATGGACCCACTGGCCACTGCGTATTAATTCAATACAAAAAAATGTTGCCGATATCTGCGACAAGTCACCGAATTAGGTGTTCAATATGCTTATAATATGCTTATAATATGCGCATGCACAATGCAACTTCTCGCATATTTATCTTAGATCATGTCGCCCGCCGCAACAAAGAGGGTCGTATCTCTGTTTTCATAATTTTTTTCTTTTGAAACGAAGTTTTTATGGCACGATGCGGGGCTAGCCGGGAAAAAAAGGTTCCTGACGAAATACTATAATTTATAATACGCAGTGTGTATTTTTTTTAATTGCAACACTTATTTTCAACACCATATATTCGGATAGACCAATTTTTTCAAAGTAATTTTGATGAAACAACTATGGTTCCAAATTTAAAATTTACTGAATAAGAGCCATGTCAATATGAAGAAATAATACATTTTTTTTTATTATTTTTAAAAATGTATAAAATCATTTATAATTTATTTCCGATAATAGTAATAGGTTTATCGTTTATATTATGTAATTTAGGTATACACCGTACAAAACGTTCAAAATATCAAAACAATTTTTATAAAATACGAGTATACCTTTGATTGTTTTTAAATTTTTTATTTTTATGTATTATTCACCTATTACGACGTACCTAGGTCATATTTTAATTTTATTTTTTAGAAAAATTACATTATACGATAATAAATCCATTGGGCTGAAATTCACATTATGCGGGATTAGCCCCCCCAACCCCAACGGCCCCACCCTATTGCGCCTATGATTACAATATCAGTTATGAAATGTACCTAGTACCTACCTAAATATGTAAAAAATAAATTAAAATAATATTGACTGTTAAGAGGACGCCACACCCGCATGTGTTGTCTCCGTCTTACAAACACGAAAATTCAACATAGCGAGGGGGAGCTAAACTGCAATTGTTCCAATAAATGTAAATTAAAAATGCTCATAACTCACTTTACTCACTTAAAAAATGAATTATCGTAACAAAACTTCCAACAAAACACAGATAATGTTCTTACCATCAAGTTTCATAATAGGTCGATTCACTCTAATTTTTAAGCTAACGGCGTTAAAAACTTGAATTTCTGAGCTTCAATTTGGTATATTAATTATTCTACGACCTGGCGGCTGCTTCAACAAATTGTGTTGTTCGTGGTCGCGTAATTTATGCATTGCGCGCTCGGGAAGAAAATATGCGTCCAAGTCACCCGGGTACCAGATTTACAATGGAAATAAATATGAGTTTTAAGAAAATCTAACAAAATGTAAGATCCAAAAGAACAGGGAAACAAACTTACTTATACACAGACTTTCCAATCTTCAGGTTAAATATAGCTGTGGCATAGATATGCGGCATATCTAGAGTGCAGACTCCAATATTTCAAAGAATTGTTATCTTCGTCAGTGACTAAAGTACTGTTTAACGATTTCTGACTTGCTCGTTTATTGTTGGCTTGGCTAAGGTACAAATATTTTTTTTGTTCATTGCAATTATTAGAATAATTGTGAACCGTTTGACGTTTCCGACGATCGATGACAATCATAGATGATTGATATTATAATATGATAAATCCATAGACCTTAGCGCTGTCCTCTTCCGACACACACTACTGAGCATCGCAATAGAACTATTCTTTACTTTTTGTTCTACAGTGGCTGCATCACGAAAAATTATACGGTCATTTAAGTATTACACCTGATTATCTATTTTATTTTGTAATAATATATAGGTACCTACCTACGTTATTCTTTTGGTTTTGAATCAAAAATAGGAAAAAAAGGGAAAATTAGTGAAATGCTATTTTAAACCTCAATAGTCGAGGTGTTGATAAAATGTTATTTACATCCTTAGACATCCTTATATATAGTCTTTACTATAAACAAAGATAATAATAAATATCTAATATTGTACTGGAGAGGTACTTGTTAGTTGTTTTTAGTTGTCACTTCTTATTAGTCTCTGCAGTCTGCCGTCTTTACATTATTGATGATTGATCAATGATCATTACCAATTTGGATTACCTACTTACGTTGTAGTAGGTACGTTGTTTTGAAGTCTAACCGATTTGTCGCGAGATTTTTGTCCACCACAAACCTAAACAGTAGTGGATACACCTTAAATCTGTGCTCGGTGTCTACTACAATTCGTATCATGAGATGCGTACATTAGAAACAAAATTAACGAGCACTAAGAAATTCAATAAACCGTAATCAGCTCAAGATGAAACTCTACCTGAATGAAACGTGTCGAGTGAACTTCCCAGGCGACGTCATTAACGGCATACTCTGCGTGCGAGAATGCTTTGATTTCGATCGTAAGTACTAAGCACCCAATTGTTTTTAATGTCCACTGTTCTAATTGTTTTCATTGTACGTTTCGGACAGTTGAGCCCCGGATAAAGGTCACTGGATTCACGTGTATATGGAAACCTGGTCTCGCAAATAGTGTGGTGACCGATGGTGAAATCGACGAATACTCTGTGTTCTTTAACGGCATGGCAGTGCTGAGTAAAGAAGACGACACACATACGGATACGGCTAATCTGTCACTGATCGACGAATTGGAAGGTTACTGGTCTTGCAATTATTGTTTGTGAATAAATGTCTCATTTATTTCATTTGCATCTAGGTTATTCCAAAATATTTAAGTTTCACATTGTTTTGCCGAACAATTTGCCACCATCGCATGAAGTCCCATTTGGTCATACAAGGTACAAACTAGAAGTGCAATATAATGGCTTAACCACTCTAGACTATTTTAGTGTGAACCAATGGGTTGGTCTGAACAAACGTAATGACGCTTCCGTAAGTATTATTTGTATTAGTTTTCATTAATACCAAGTTCTTTTATAGAATTGTTTACACTTTATAATATAGGTTAAACATGCAACATTCTTTGTGCCATTCTACGCATTTTGTCAATCAATTGAAATGATATTAAATTTAAACCAGTCATATTATTTACCAGGTGAAACTGTTTATGTAATAGCTATGATACAAAACAATTCTAGGACAGATATAATTTTCTCTAAAATACTCATTGTTCAGGTTAGTTGTATTTTTAAAATAATATTTGTTTACATTACATTAGTAAATATTTGAACTCAAACCTTAGACATAATCAGTGGTGTACGCAGGGTTTTTAAATGGGGGTGGGGGGCCTTGAAAATTAGTTACAATTTTATTTTTATTTTGTCCAATATAATAATTTCAGACGTTTATTTGAGATATTTTAAAATGTTTGTAACTTCTCAACTTTTCTGGTAAAAAAAATGTTTTGATCATAAACTTCGATGCCCGATGTATGTTTTTGGAAGCAAATTGGATCTAGTTGGTACTTCTAAAGGGTTGAAATTGAAAATGCTCAGTGCTTTTTAAAATAATTGGAGAAAAAAATGAAAATTTGTTAAAATTGTTTGGTAACCAGCTTGGTTATACCGTCCTCACTTGGATTGTATTTGATTAATTAACAATTTTTTTTCTATAAATGTCAATAAAATATTATTTATCCGGTCAAAAAGCTTAACAATGTAATACATACGTTTTTATTATAGCTAAAATATTAACTTAGGCATCATGGTTATTTTTTATAAGCATTTAAAGTTCAAATTTTGTCAAAACCACAGTTAATTTGTTGTTCAAAACTTATAACATTTTATATGTGTATAGCTAAGGCTAGACAAGTAGTTCATACTTTAAACGAAAAATTACAAATAATTTAAAAAAAACTGGTATGCAAATTGCAAATAATACAATGTTTTTTCAAAAATGAATTCATTCTGGTAACTGGTAAGACATATATGAAATTTACATTGTGCTTACTACAGTTGACAGTTGAAACTTGATAAATATATTTTTTTAAAGTAATAATAATACGGTTAATGGGGGGGGGCTTTAGCCTAAGTTACTCGTTAGCCCTGTGTACGCCACTGGACATAATACTACTAGATAGAACATTACTGTAGTTCCAGAAGTTTGATGTGATTGCGCTAATCTTGGTGTACAGCATATAACTACACACTGTATAGTGAGACCACACTATCTGCCCGGGCCATGTCCCTATACTCCGTCTATTAGTATAATGTCTATGACTGAAACTGAAGATTTTCACTATTTTGAATTTAAAAATATTAACCATTTCACTTAAATTTGGTTATATTTTACACTGTTGTATAAAATATAATTTATTTGATAATTATGTTACCTATTGTAAAATGTGTTTAAAACAAAAATGAAAAGGATAAATTTGTAAAATTTGTCGTTTTAATTCAAATTAAATTTAAACATATTATATTACTAAGCATTATAATATAATTTATTCTAAGTCAGTGATCGTAAGTAATAATTTTATGTGATGTCATACTTGGTTATTTTGCATTATGTATGACGTGTTAAAATTATTTTTATAACATGAATGTGTCATATTTATTATACATACCGTAGATTACAAAGTACTGGAAGACTCATCATCTATTACCAATAAAACATGTCAGAGTAATTGCAGAAGGAATACGAGGATATATATCTAGTGGAAATAAACAAATATGGGATAGTCATCCTTTAAAATTACCAGCAATTATTCCAACTACAAATACATCCAACAATCCATTTAACTATTTTGAAGTGAAGTATAAAATTAAGGTTACTGTTTTTAATAAACATTGATAATTTTCTAATTTACTTTTATTAATTATATTTAAGTTTTATTCTTTTGTTTTATTCTCTAAGCTGGTAAATATTATTGAAAATATTTATTTTTTACTATTTTACATTTTAAATGTTATACAATAGTGTATTAATTGTTCATGGTTAAAATAATTTAATTTTTCTTAGTGTTAGCTAATTTTAATATAATTAATATTATGTTAATTCTCTACACAAAGAAGCTAAAATACTCCTATTAAATATTTCAAATTGTTTATTTTCTCATTAAAATTCGATATTTAAAAACGTTTCTTCTTTCACAGTGCATGATAGTTCTAAACCCCTGAAGATTAAATAAATATTACAATAAGATATTATTCAGATATGAAGTTTTATATTTTATGAAAATTATTGATACATACGATTCACATAAAATAGTGTCATCAATGAGTGGTTTGCTTCTTTCATCAGTATTCTATATGTTTTTCTATGCTTGCATTTTAACTTATTAGTTATTTCATATATTTTTTTATTTAAAATGTATTTACAATCTGTTAACCAAAACTATTTGAAAATTTGGTACATATTTAATAATAAAAGTTTCACATGGATAATTTGAGGAGGAAGCTATTTACTAACGGCACCTCAAATAAAAAATTGTTTCATTTTTATTGTTTGTTGGTTTTTTTTTTATCGAAATTTAGAGTAAAACTTTGGGTCAGTTGCATTTGAGACGTTTCCGGGATGGGAACACAATTATTACATCCAAAATAACCTATAGATTACATATTATTAATATTTTAAATATTTTATTCCATTTAATAATATTTGCTTGAGGAATTGTGCTCGAATAAGATAAAACTAAATATATTATCTGCTGGAAATTAATATTTATAAAATTATTTGTTTTCAGATGCTTATTAAATTGAAAAATTCAAATAAGAGAATAGTCTTAAAACAAAATTTATTTATTGGTAATTGGGATAAAAGTATCGCTACCAATGGTAAACAGTTTATAGAAATACTGCAAAATAATTGCTCAACTTATGGTAAGTTGTATTTGATGATGGTTTGAATTCAACTACTTATTAGTTGGTATAAAAATATAAATTTTTAAATCCTGTGCTATTTTGAGTTTCACAAATCCTTAAATGTCTACTTAACACGTCAAGTGCCATGCGGCCGCTGGCGGTCACACCATTATGCATCATCTGTACGCCAAGTATATTTTTCAGTGTCATTCCAAATTTGTATATTATACTATTTATTTGAATTAAGTTTAAAAATATAAAAAAAATATAAAAAAATATATTTATTACATCAAAAAAATTGTAATGATTCACACTACGCCAAGGCGCTTTTTTGGAGCATTATTGTAGCTCCATGAAAAAGTTAATAATATAAAACCATATTCATTTACGGCCGCCGGCGGTCATGTGGTGTGGTAGTAATGATCCATTGTGGCCGCCAGTGGTCGCAAAAGCATACAATTTGAGATTTAAAAATGACTGCCGGCAGCCGGCATAGCACTTAACATGTTAAAAGAATATAATTTAACATTTGTTAGTTTTAGTTTTGGTTAGTTGTTTTATTTTTATTTGTGTTTGAACTGTCAATATGTAGTGATTTAATATCTAATTAAACATTTGTAACATAACATTAACATTCCAGTCTATATATATATATATTTTTTTTTTTTTTTTTCAGAGGTCGGTGTTAAAGAATGTCTTCTAGTTAAAGCGGAAAACATAGATTTCATACCAAAGTATATGATTTATGAGAAAAGTCAAGAATAAAATAAACCAAATTTGTTAAATATATTGTATAGTATTTACCTATAATAGAAGGACACTATTATATCAAAGCAATTTTTTTACATTAATATTGTTATAGAAAAATAAACAAGGATTACTTTTTTCTTTCGTATTTCCATTTATAAATTGGGGCTGCATCTTTTGTTGCGGGTTTGATCTTCTTTGGCTGTTCTTGCTTAGAACCAAGCAAATGAGATTTAATTTCTAGTTTCCTCTGTACAACAGATAATTCTTTTTCCCTCTTAGTTCTTCGTTCTAGTTCTCTATATGATTTTCTCTTTTCGGATATCATTTGCTTAATAGTCTCTTCATCTAAATCTGGCAGTTCAATTTTTTCCAAATCTGACATTCTCATACGATTAGTTTTCCTTTTGATAAGATCTGGATGTGTATCGATATTTTCAGGTAAATTTCCAAGACACTGGTCACCATCATTGAAATATATATGGCTGTTATTTGTTTGATTAGCTTGATCTAAGAAATGTAGTTGGGATTGTAAACGCTCAATTTTTTTCCTTTCCATAGTTGCACGCATATTGATGTATTTCAAATCCCTAGTTTGCATTAGCTTAATTTGATCTTCAGTATGTTCATCTTCTTCTCGTATTTCTGTATGACGTCCGTCCTCGACTTTGGAATTTGTCATATGGAAATAAAATTCATCTGGATTGCGGTTTTGTGCTCGTTTCTTCAATAATTTCATTACACGTTCGCGTTCTTGGTGGTGTCTAGCACGGACTTTGTAATCTTTTTTCTTCTCGAGCAACCCATATTTTTGACGAACATCAGGCTGGTGGCGTTCCCTGTGCGTTTTCTGATTAACTTTTGATGCTTTTATCCACGACGACATTTTTAAGCTAAACAAATTATATAATAAAGGTATATTATTCTATTCTTTTAGAAATGTGCACTTACTACTTACCCAATGAATGACGAATGTGTCTTTTTAAGTGTAACACGGTTAAAAAATATATCTATATTCTATTTTACTAACAACTAACAAGTAGCATTTAAGTCAATAAGTTGTGATAATTGAATAATTCTGTTATCAGAACATCTGATATCTAAAGGCGCATTCACAGCAGCAGCTACATCGTGGTCGTGTGCGAACACTTGGTTATTTTATGGTTACAACGCTAGTTGGTACAACCATTGATTATATAATCAATGGTACAACCATAGAACAACGTCGATCTTAACGCCATCTAGGTGCGTAAGTCGATTACATAATAATACTGTAATGGTAATAATATATTATTTAATTGTTGGATTAATAAATTGTAATTATTATTTATTGTACCTACTACCTATATAGTATATAAAAAAAAAGAAATGTACCTACCATAATATTGAGTTAAGAATTAAGATCTAAATTTACTTGTACAGTTGACTTATATCTGATATAAAAGGTATGTTAAATGACAAGTAGTTTTTATGTGATTGAGTCGATTGAGAGCAAATTTCAATACAACTTTCATCTTACAAGCAGGCAGCAGCACAAAATAGATAGAGTATTTTATAGTTAATACATTATAATATTATATTATTTTTAGTTTTTACATATTTGTATTTTAGTGTTTTACTTTATTGATGGAATTACTAAATAAAACTAATAATTATAGTGTGACATAATTGTTAATACTTGATTTACTTGTTGTGAATAAGGAATATTCTATTCTATTTTAGTTCATACCTGTACCTTATACCTACTTCAAAATTCAAATACCTACTGTGAAGATATTTGTGTATGCATAAAAAAATTACATTTATAAAAACAAGTATTAAAGATATGTGTATTACTCAAGTAATGACTAATTTAGCAGATTATTTTCTTTTTCAAATTTATTTTGTTCTGATTTTAGATTCTGAGCGGAGCGATGAATGTATTGGTTTTACAATGATGTATGTTTTTATATTTTTATTTATATTTTTATATTTTTATATTTTTATTTATATTTTTGTGTCTGTCATCACGTTTTAGGACAGTAAAAGTGCTTGGATTTTCTTCATCAGTAGCTTTTCTGATAGGAAAGTGAATCTAGTTGGTACTTTGGGGGGTCAAAAGTATAAATTTCCCAGTAGTTTTCACAAGCGCCGGGAAAAACAACATAAAAATTAAGGAAAAACGGGAATTTTTACGCAAAATTGGTTTTCCAAAAAATCGATTTTGGTTATTGGTGTAACTCTAAAACAAATGAACGTATATACATGAAATTTTCACTGGTTGTTTATATTTGCATTTTCTATACACCATAACATTTTCGAAATATTTTGATTTATTTTGAACTGTTTAGGGACATTTTCATTTTCCATTTTTTTTTAGTTTTTTTTCTAAAAATATCAATAAAATTTTATTTATTGGTTGGGGAAGCTTGAAAATTTAATAGAAGGCTCCTAATATGTTGTTTCAAAGGCAGATGAAAAATATTAAAAATCCTTAGTCACAATTTTTTTTTATAAGCATTTAAAGTTCAAAAATTGACAAAATATGGAAAAATCACGAAAATTAGCAAATTATTTTGAGTTAAGAATTCGTAAAAATTTTTCTTTTTAAATCTAAGATTTGAAAATGAAACACAAGATTCCTTATAAGATTATCTACCTTTATCAATAAAAAAATCTCTACTGGACAGTCAAATTAAATTTTTATGAGCGTTTGAAATTCAAATTTTTACAACATTGGATTTTCACTCGATTTCTCATGTAGCGATTTCCTTATTTTGTTGTAATTCAAAAACGAATAACTGTAGATACATGAAAATTTCACTGAATGTTTATATTAGCATTTCCTATACACCATACAATTTTGAAAATATTTTGACTCTTTTTGAGCTGTTTATGGACATTTACAGCTTTCAATTTTTTTTAGTTTTTTTTTCTATAAATATCAATAAAGTTTTATCTGTTGGGCCAAAAAGTGTAAAAATTTAATACAAGGCTCCTGATATATTGTTACAATATCAGTTGAAAAATATTAAAAATACATAGGCACGATTTTTTTTTATAAGCATTTAAAGTTGGAATTTTGACAAAATTTATCAAAATCTCGAAAATTATCAATCGTTGGAATTAAAAAATTATAAAATGTTCAGTTTTTATAACTAAGAGTTGAAAATTTAAAACAAAGATTCTCTTAAATAATTCATACTGTAACCAAAAAATCTAAAAAATATATAAACACACTTATTTTTTACAGACATTTTAATTTCAAATTTAGACAAAATTTCATATTTAAACCAAGAATTACGATTTTAGTTATTTTGTTGTGATTGTATAATATTATTCGTGGGTACTTGAAATTTCTAAAGTAATCTACTATATATCTATGATAGTATTAGGGTTTGTTGTTGGTGTATAACGCGTTATAAGTACCTAATAGATATTGTGATATGATTAATTTGGAATTCATTATAGGTCAATTTTTTTTAATACCATAGATATGTATATAATATGTCTTATACCTAAAAGGACATACCGTCTCCGCTCAGAATCGTTTTTCTTATACAATGATATTATATCATTGAATTCAAATTTAATACCATCCATTATACAATGACCCACTTGTAACCTACTGTACAGCAGAGCGACACCCACTTGCCCACCTTTTTATTTTCTATGTTTGGAAATTGTATCATCTTTGTTGTAATGTAATACCTGACAATGAACATTAGTATTTTAGTTTTATGTTCATCACATGGAAATGTTGGTAAACTGGTAATATTTTCTAAAAAATCATAGATGGTATCCTGAAATACACTAGGCATACTACAATACTTTGAGAAAGAATTTTCTATTGATGTTATATTTTGTTAATGACATTCAAACAAACTCTCAAAATCTGATGGAATTGCACTTTTTTTTTAAAGAACATTATATTATGTTGGGCAACTTCATTAGTCGGCAATTCATTATATTATAAGAGTAGTTTATAATTTATTTTGATAGTATCGATTCACTTGCACTTAGTAGGTTTTTTTTTTATATTGATCTACACTACACCACCTAGGCATTTTGGTAATTTATCTTAATTATAATAAATAAATTTAATATTAAAATATTAGTAATAAAAATATATATATTAAATAAATATTATCATAAAATAATAAAATATACAATAATATAATAGTGCTGATAATGGTTAAGGTTTATAAATTTTAGATAGGATTCACAGAATAGACTAATATAATCTTTTAAATAGTCAATACTTTCTCAGTACCTATTCTGTACTTAATTTAATAATGTATACATAACAATAAAGTATAATATATCTTAGATTAAGTTATTTAGTATAAAATATATTACACACATTCAAGAAACAAAATTAGATACAAGATGTCGATGTGTATAACCATAGAACAATGTATATTGTATATTGTATAACAAGTCTAAAGTTTATTATATATTTCATACAGTAACAATGTTGAATATTGTAACATTTTATTAATGTAGGGATTATTTATAGGGTTAACATCTGCCAATAGATGGCACAGCGGTCGCGGTTATACCATAGAACAATGGTTATACCGGCATTAAAAAATAAACAGTTGTACATTTGGCGAATTTGGCCCAGACTCCGGCACTCCGCCGGCTCAATCGTTTCCAGTCCTGTATATCGTGGTTCGTGGTTAAAGCACATGGGTTACAGCAGTGCTGCCATAAAAAAGTCTTAAATATTTTGAGTAAATACACAATTTTAAAGTATTTTAGGGTTCGCAATCATAATCGAGAGCATGCCCATCATAGACAAGAATCATGAACTAAGATAATATCTTAGTTCATGACACGGACTAAGATATACAGGACTGGACACGACAAGGTTGGAGGGTGTGGGGGGGTTGACTACGAAATGTTTTACAACAGGCAGTGTTCGGGGGGATATTTTCCTTTTAGCATTACTAGCGCCGTCCTAGTGGATACTTATGGAACTAGAACACATCATACAAATTTCTAGTTCCATAAGTATCCACTAAGACGGCGCTAGTAATGCTAAAAGGAAAATATCCCCCCGAACTCGGCCTGTTGTAAAACATTTCGTAACCACAATATTCATCTCGTGTCCAGTCCTGTATATCTTAGTCCGTGGTTCATGACAAGAATACTATGCCCATGCAACTCCCCAACCAATTAACACAAATCAGTAGTGCTCTTATTGTCGGGTCCCGCTCTGGTGGCGCGCTCTAGTAGTAATTTGTATTTTAATAGACCGAATGCAGACACTACCTAGGTACCCAATTTTAACTTTTTTAAGAAAATCTGAATTGTTTGATTTAATTTAATTAATATAATTAAGAATATACATTAAAAAAAATAATTGTAACTATTATAACATCAACAACTAATGGCCATTATCGTCGATGTTTTGTTTAAGAACGATTAAAAAGAAACTTCTAAAAATGTTGTGTTGAATATTGTTAAATTGTTATATAACTTCTGGTATAATATATTATGTTCATTTTTGCTTACTTTTGCTGTTCTATTAGATTTTATATCCATAATATCTACTGTTTTAATAGATTCTTCTGAAAAATGTGACTTGCATAATCTACCCTCAATTTTTAAAGCTTTACCAATAACTACTCCCCAACTTTCCAACCGATCTTGTGTTACACGAAATTTAGGTACTCCGGTGGTGGTACAATTACATATAGAACATTTACGTGTCATTTTTATAAAGTAGTTAGTACTTTGGTACTTAAGTAGTCACTTGTAGACCTTTATAAGGACAATGTGCCAATAACATGGGTCTGTATATTTTGGCGGTATTTTGCAGTCATAGGCTCATAGATTTTTACTATGAGCAAAATAATGCCGATAATATTCAATGGATCGTTATTCGTTAAGCCCACAGTCTTAATTAAATTTTTTAAGTCGACAATCATCGAAATAATAATATTTTGGTACTTGGCCGGTAGATGGCGCCACCAGAGCGGGACCCGTCAATAAGAGCTTCATATTCGGGGATTAGTTGCCAGCACGGACTAAGACTTCTATCATAGTCCGTGGTTGCCAGGGGTGCGTTCAGAAACGTTATCCACTATCGTCAGTCAATTCCCACCGTCGTTCAGAAAGTATTTAGGGCGTATCGGTGAATTCACCGACACGCCCCTTTTGCGTTCAAAAACGTAGATAACTAACTAGATAGTCAATCTCCTCTAACGGACTATTTAGACCGTCACAACAAAATTGGTTATAACGGTTACTGGTTAGTGGTTAGTACCAATATTTTTTTCGCGCCATAATAATGACAATGTATAAAATATGAAATAACCATAAAATTAAAAATATAATATAATTATTATTTATTAATTAACGAACAAAGAACAAGAGTGAAAAAGTGCAAGAACGCGACAAGTGACAAATGTCAATTTGTGACTAGTTTTTGTTGTCTCGTGTAATACGTGTTGATGGTCCATCATTCATGACAAACCAATCTATTTGTAATTTAAGAATTTAAACTACATATTCATTTAAATAATGTTTCCTCAAGTCACAGTTGTAAGTGTGTAAAAAAATATAACTAATTTTGATATATCTAACTAGTAAGAACTTTTAATTTTGTTTTTATTCCAGGAAAAATGTCCCATTTGCAATAGTTACGTTATATTAACATAAATGTCTGAACATCTCAAAAATCATAGGTAAGTTAAAAAGAAAAGATACTAAGTAATTGTCTTGGAATATGTTAGCACTTAGCATATTTCTATCTTAACAAATCTATTAAATAATGAATATTAATTTAATAGACACTATTGTGTCCATATGCATATAGTCAATGTATTTGTCACACAAGACGTAGTTTACCATATTTTATGTAACACATACTTGACTATGCATGCGAGAATTACTACTATAATTAATTTTTGTTTCATAAACATTAATGCCCCTTTCTTTTAATTAATATTTAGTGCTGGCTATGCTAATTCTTATTTAAACTTTCAAGTAACGATCAAATATTTTGACTGTTGTCTGACATGACACACCATATTAAAACTAAAAGACTGCAACTAAATACTAGGCTACGCATGCTTAAAACATTCCAATTAACAACAAACACACCAACTTAAACATTAAACTTCTCATGTACAAATCCTTACTAAAACTTAAATGAACCCATGGTCTTCAACTGCGGGTCAATGCCAAAATATCCAATCTTAAAACAATATAGCTGTTTCAAAATATTACTCTAAGAAAAATTACTAACTCTCCTCGATACATATTAAATTACACACTTCACACCGATCCATACCAAAAAACTGTCCAAGAAGAAGCTAAATTCTTCTACAAACGTTTTCACGATCCTCTTATTGGTCATACAAATCCATTAATCCATAACTTATCACCAAATAAAATTCCTGGTAAGTGGTAATCCTCGACGTCGCCTTAAAAAGAAATTGTGCAGAAACCTCTTAATAAATTAAAAGGATTAGTCTAATAATCTAATAAAAATCTACAGTAAGTGACACTACTGGGTGGCTTCTTTTAACAAGCGTATCAATACCACTGTAAATTAGCACATATTCTTATTGTGCCCTCCGGGTATAGACTGTATATTTCTTTTAAAAATTAAATTTAAAAAAAACTTTCAAGTTAACTAATAATTAAGCCTTGTTATTTTTACTTTCTAGTTATTATTCGCTTTAATAGTATAATTAATATAACTCATATAATTATACTCATTAATTCATATTTCATATATTATACTTTCTTTCTTTTATAGTCAAAACCATGAACTAGCAGTGCCTCAAAAGTTAAAAAAGTATAAACCATCAACATCATTTGGTAATTTATCTACTGAAACAAGGTAAATAAGTTCATAGTCAATATTATTATTCAATTTTTGCAAATATAATGAATGCTTTTATATTGTTATAGTTATAATAAATAGCTAGGAGAGCTTGTGATATTAATTCAATTTATATAACTTTTATTATACTTTCTTGGCCATTATCCCCTGTCCGTTAATAAATAAATATACTTTTTTTTAGTCAAGACCAGGAACTAGTGCCTCAACAGTTAAAGCATTCTAAAGCTAAACGAACAACATTGTTTAGTAATTTATCTGCTGAAACAAGGTAAATAAGTTGATAATTGATATTATTATTCAATTTTTATAAACATATTGAATACTTTCATATTGTTTAAGCTATGATATACCTAATGAGCTAAGAGTACTTGTGAATTTGATTCAATTTATACTTTCTATTTTCTTGGCACTTCACTCTTTAATAAATACATTTTGTTTGTAGTCAAGATTATGAACTTGTGCCTCGGCCACAACAGTTAAAAAAGTATAAGCCAAACCCATTGTTTGATAGTTTGTCTGATGAAACAAGGTAAATAAGTTGATAGTTGATATTATTATTCAATTTTTATAAACATATTGAATACTTTCATATTGTTTAAGCTATGATATACCTAATGAGCTAAGAGTACTTGTGAATTTGATTCAATTTATACTTTCTATTTTCTTGGCACTTCACTCTTTAATAAATACATTTTGTTTGTAGTCAAGATTATGAACTTGTGCCTCGGCCACAACAGTTAAAAAAGTATAAGCCAAACCCATTGTTTGATAGTTTGTCTGATGAAACAAGGTAAATAAGTTGATAGTTGATATTATTATTCAATTTTTATAAACATATTGAATACTTTCATATTGTTTAAGCTATGATGCCTAATGAGCTAAGAAAACTTGTGAATTCGATTGAATTTATACTTTCTATTTTCTTGGCACTTTGATCTTTAATAAATACATTTTTTTTTGTAGTCAGACCATGAACTAGCAGTGCCTCAAAAGTTAAAAAAGTATAAACCAACAACGTCATTTGGTAATTTATCTACTGAAACAAGGTAAATAAGTTCATAGTCAATATTATTATTCAATTTTTGTAAATATTCAAAATACATAAATTCATCAATACTCTCGTATTGTTTAAGCTATAACAAATAGCTGGGAGGGCTTGTGAAATTAATTCAATTTATATAACTTTTATTATACTTTCTTGGACCTTCTCCCTTGCCCGTTAATAAATAAATACATTTTTTTTTAGTCAAGACCAAGAACTATTGCCTCAACAGTTGGAACATTCTAAAGCTAAACCAACAACATTGTTTAATAACTTATCAGATGAAACAAGGTAAATAAGTTCATAATTGAAGAATTTATAATATTATTATTCAATTTTTGTTAACATTGAATACTCGTTTGATTTTATAATTAATAATTGGTAGTATATTTATTATTTGAAGTTTACAATTTTTTTATTGTGTAGTACAAATGAAAAAAGAGTCAAAAATTGGACCAAGTCTGAAACACTTTTCCTTATTGAGGCGTATGAGAATAATATTTTGATATTCGAATCAAACTAAAAAAAAAATCGTTTAGGTTGGATTCAAGTTTCAAAAGATCTAAAGAAGTACATTTTTCAGATATTTGTTTAACATTTTGTATATGTATATTGATAAAATAAATAATTTTTATACATTTAGAAAGCAGATTGAATATACTGAAGATCAATGCCAAGGAAAATTCAAGTATTTACTATTGTGCTACAAAAAAAAATTAGACAATAGACATGAGACAGGAAGTGCTGTATATGAGTTTGAATTTTTTAATGAACTTGATGAGTTATTTGGTAGAAAACCCAACATAAGACCAAAGCATTTGGCATCATCTAGTCGCATTTATAATGGTTAGTAATATATCTTCAATATAATATGTATCACCAATACAAATGTTATGAAATACATTTATTATTTACAGGCATCAAAGAAAACTAATGTAGTTTTTGATCCTGATTGGAACCTCTTTCTCACAGGTTAAATCCTCGTCATTATCATTATCATCATCATCATTAAAAAAATATAGTCCACAGTCTAAAAGTAATTTAAACGAATTACTTGCCGCTATAGCTAGAACTCTGGGATGGTTACTCATAATAAAATAATTTCAATTACAAATAACAAATGTTTAAATGATGTACACCAAAAAAAATTAAAATTCATAAAAAATTAATAATTTTATTTTGGTACAAATCAAAATAAACCTATAAAATAGTATACAATTTATAAATATTATGATTAATGATTATATTATCACTTTATCAAAATATTAAAAGTATTATAAACATGTTCTTCTACTATGAGGTTAACATACCTCGGTAACCTTATTGATAACTGAATGGTTCAATAAGATGGGAGGAGTCACATCGTTCCCCGGCGAAAAAGTTAATTCTACATAGAAAACGTTTCTGAACGCACTCCAGACCTAATAATCACTATCCAAAAATATATTAATAATTTTTGAAGATAATAAGAGATAAAAGAAGTGTTAATCAGTTATTTCATCAGTCACTGGACAGTCAGTCACTTAAAACTCATTTTAATAAAAAGTTAGAAGTTGAACATCCATAATTACAATAAATCACATCAATATTTTTCATGCCAACAATGTAGTTCTAACGAAACGATCAACACTTTCAAACGTGCACATCTGATCATTCTGTTTTTTTTTTAAGTAAAAATTCTATAGAAATAACTTTATTTTACAGATGATAAACTTATGTTACAATGTTGAAGTATATAAATAAATTTCATTTTATTTTAGATAATAATATTGATTTTTATTACAATCACCGCATACGATGTTCATTTAATCAGTTAATACTATTCATCAGTATACATATAGTTTAAGACCCAGAAAGTTGAAAGAGTTGGAAAAGGCATAGTTGTTACTTGTTGGTTATGGTACATATAAAAAAAATTTAATGAGTAACTTATTATATTTCAGACTTGAACATTTAGATAGGCTAAACATGTACACGTTAAATTTATTATTAATAGTTAAACATATTATGTCTGTGTATGACTTGATGGATGTTTCAATTAAAATGTTAACATCAAATGTTATTCACCAGGCATTTCACCACCAGGAACCAACTAAAAACATACAATAAATAAGTAATTAATATTGTTATCCCTATTATAATTTATAATAGAATAACACATAACTCAATATTAAATAAGAAATTTACCATTGTTATATTATTTCCATTTAACAATATTTGATCCAATTTAGTGACTCGTCTTCCTTCAGGCGTAGATTCATATTCCGTTACATCTTCAAGCAACATGTTGACAAAATCATCAAACCCCAATAAAGTACCGACTATTTCCTTATCGTTTTTCATAACAATGTGAATCCTAGAGCCAATGCATTTATCCACAAGTTCTAAAATATGTAACATATTAACATTTATATAGATTTGTTTATCCAATTGGGTAATGTACATTTTGTTGTCAAAAAAAACAAAAGAAATTATGAAAACCTTCATGACTCAAACAATTTTCCAGGTTCATTATGGTGGATTTTACAAGAAAGCTGAATAAATTTTACATATTAAGTAGGTACTTATAACAATTTTTTTAGGCACCACACTCCATGACAAAAATTCAAACCATTGAAAAAGACTTAATTAAACTATGGTAAAAAGTGAAGTGCCTATAGAATATTATATAATGTATCACTTACCGAGTGGAAGCAAAGTAGAAGGGTTAGTCGCAACGGAAGTGGCCATGGTATCTGAGATTTTGGATTTACGATTGACAAGCAAACAAGCAAACGGCAATGAACACAATTTACTTATTTACTATAATAGCACATTAAACGTCGTGTCTATAAACCACAGATATAGTTACTATATCCGTGCTGTATACCTGTGAAATGTGAATACCTATGTGATTGTGAACCACTATGTTGTGATATACTGTGGAATGTGGATATCACGATTTAAGATATTATACTGGTTACCACGAACTAAGATATACAGGACTGAACACTATTGGGCGGAGGGGGCGGGTTATGCGGTCAGAAAATCTTGCTCGTCGGTGCATTTGTGAATAAAGCGCCATCTATTAACATCAGTAGTAACTACAAAGTTCTACATTTATTTTAAGAATAAAATACAATTATGACATAGATTTTAGAGTACATTTTACTAGTCATCTTACTACATCTTAGTTAATGTATCTAAGCTGCTTAGTATATTATTTAGTAAAATATTTTAAAATTATAATATATTTATTTACAATGGGTCGATTATGTAGCGTGGAAAATACGTAATTGGAAAATAATATTTTAACAAAATTAAATGATATACATTTTATTGAGAAAAGCGGTTCATAATTATAAAGTCCACTTATTCCACTGACAAAATCGGCGGTGCAGAAAGTGCAAACGAGTGTTGCACTGCAATCAAATCGAATACAAAACACTCCGCCAGTTCACAAAATATTGGTCAAATCGAATACGTTTATGCACTCAGTGCAAAAAGTGCGTCAAATCGAAAACGCTATTAGTAAACCGACAGAGTGCGCCACATACACCAAGGTACACTTCAGCAAGAGTACCCGACCGCAATATCTAGAGTCGTTACCAGTCCTGTATATCTTAGTTCGTGCTGGTTACACATCGAAATGTGATAAGTTGACCGCCTAACTGAATCCCTATATCAGCTCTGGAACTACTGACTGGCGCCATCTAGCGATAAATGTATTAAACCGATATGAGACACTGATTATTTAAAATTAATTAATCAAAAAAAATTTGTCAAAATTGGTTAAAACATCATAAATTAATGTTTAAAATAAATAAAGCTGTTGTTGTATAATAATACTCGATGATTGATAATCATAAGATTTACCTGAAGTATTTCTCATTTCTTGTTACGAAATAAAATATAAATGCCTACCTACTTGTAAAAATTCTTAAATTATAATTTAGTAAACTACGTAAATGGTATTATATAATATTGTATAACCTTTTTAACGTTTATTCATATATTATAATCGTAATACGTTATAACATTTAAAACCACCAGAATCATGACAAAATAAATTCTTTTACATAACTAGAATATTAAGTTAATTATTAATCTTCAGTTAACTCATATTAGGTATAAAGTATAAACATTAAATATTAAACGAAAGTTAAGAGCATAGAAAAGTAAGCAAAGACGTTAATTAGGAAGTTAATAATTTAGTACATACGAGTATACGAATACGACTGTTGGCATAGTACGTTTTGGATTGTTGAGTTTCCACATAAATGCAGCTAGATGGCGCCAGTCGGTAGTTCCACAGCTCGGCTGTCTATTCGTAAAACACAGTAAGTGTATTTCACAAAATTGTTCAGGAGAAGCAAATTAGTGAAGGCGCTGTCCATGCAACTAGATGGCGAACTAGTGTATATATATTGACCATATCTCATAGTACAGTTAAACTACTGTAGGACCATAGTAACAATTTTGATACCATTACAACCGGAATACTATGTGGAACACGATCACGATTTAAGATATACCTTAAATAGGTAAATCTTAAATCGTGAACACGATAAACGAAAAAAACGTAAATTGATAAGAATGTCACTGTGTTTCACGAATAGACAGCCGAGCTGATTTGGAGACTCAGTTTGACGGTCTTGAAAAATGCATAATATCATAGGCCGATGTTCAACCTGTATATTTTAAATTGTGGTGGATATACCATAGATATATATTATTAAACTAGATAGCCGACTCTGTATAGACTGTGCATACAAATAGGACGCCTGGTCGCCATATGCAGTTTGGGCACTGTTTACAAAATATAGATGTTATCAATCCTCGTGATATCAATTAATTAAAATTAAAATTGCTTTTTGCTTAACGATAAACTTTCTTAACTCGTCAGATGTGACACAAAAAACAAGTCTTTTTAAAAAAAAATTTGAAAATTTGAAATTCTTGAGGTGCGTGGTAAAGTGCATTTTAGCCAATATCTACAATCAAAATATCAAAAAAAAAATTAATTTTTTTTAGCAAATTATTTAATATATTTTTTTTTTATTTTATTATGTATATACTGTGTTCATAAAAATAAATTACTTAACATTTTATTGTATATTATTTGACTATTTTACTAATGTGTTTGACCGTTGGATATTTTGGTTAAGATATTTTGTCCTAGATTCATTTTTGTAAATAGGTTTCCACTGAAAAATGCTGAAAGAAAACAGCAATGGGATAATGCAGTTGGCCGAAAAGGGTTTATCCCAACCAAACATAGTAAAGTATGTAGTGATCATTTCCATCAAAATGATTTTGAAAAAAAATGTGGTGGTAGTTATTTGCTATAACTCAAGGCAACGGCTGTCCCTTCAATTTTTCCTAACTACTCAGACATTATATCAAAAGCTAAAAAACAGTGTCTTGAGCTTGAGCAATTTCAAGTAGTTGGACCCAGCTCTTATATTCCTTGTACTGAAATTAATGAACCAAAATGTAAAATATAATATTTAAATTGTTTTTTTTTACAATTATGTTGTTATTATGTTAACATTTAATAACAGAATCTTTTGTTATTAGACTTTATTAATTCAAGGAATTTTACCTGATATCTTTGTATATGCAGCACTAAACAAATGTTACTTGCAATGTACATTATACTAAGTGTGCATATTCAGATTTGAAAATGAAAATTTTAGTTGCTACCTACTGCCTAGCAAATGTTCAGTTTTCTGGTAGTGCAAGTACTACATTTTCACAGGCCAATATACATTATACACTACTGCCTACTGGAAGTGAGCACTCAGTAGTAGTTCTGGTCACTTGAGTGTTATTCAATAATAAATATTAATTATTAATAAGCAATGCTAAAAACATGACATGGCTAAAAAGAAATATGTTTGAACTTTGAATTTCTATTTTTTTGATCAGTTACTTATCACAGTAATTGATAATGATAACAAAATATAAACATTGCCGTATCTGCATATGGCGGCCAGACTTCAATAATTGAAACAAGTCGGCTATCTAGTTTAATAATATATATCTATGACCCGTAACGACTAACGGCAGGAACCTTTGGCGGGCCGTCACCCGTCGGCCGTCCTGCGACCATCTCTTCGTTACGGTCCGCTCCGTCAAGACAAAATAAATTATTATAAATTAATCTTATTTTAGTGACTTATATTGTTTGTCTATGACTTGGTCCGTGGTCTCGTGCTTACTAAGCTCTTCCCGTTTGAATGGGATAAATATTAAATATGGTTTGTATGATGAGACATTTTTCAATAATAACTATGTTTTTATACCACTAACAATATTATAACTGATTTAGAATTCTCTCAACAAACCAATCGCAAATGAAACTTCTAAAGATGAAAATTTTTCCAATACCCGATGCCGAGGACGAGGATATTTAATAAAAATGATGGGAAACCACAGTTCTGAAAAACCTGGGAATTTATCATCATCAATATTGCCCACAGAAAATATGAAGAACAATGTTGTAGTGCATAACCAAGACCTTGTTAAAAATTCTAGTTTTTCAGACTGTGAATATATTTATGAGATCCCTGCGAGATCAACTTATATTCCACCTGAACCCAATGAAAATGACATATCTATTTATGATGACGGAATCAGTTCTGGTATAAATTTTGAAAAATTCAATGATATTGAAGTGAAGGTGACCGGAAAAAATATACCTGAAGCTATTGAAAGCTTTAATCCGTTGAACAATATACCAGAACAGTTAATGGAGAATATTAAAATGTGTAATTTTGTGAAACCGACTCTTATACAAAAATATTCTATTCCTATTATTTTATCTGGTAAAGATTTAATGGCCACTGCTCAAACTGGTTCAGGAAAAACGGTAATTAAATAATGTGAACATTAGTATTTACTTACATCTATTTATTTATAGTGATCAGAATAGCCATTTTATGCCGTGTCTGTTGTATTTTTATAGAACAATATATTATGCTGAAAACTTTCAATTCATCCATGTATACTCTGCCCAGTGAGAGAACACACCGATTAATGATTATGTGCATCCCACCATGCTATCAAAACCGGTTCCTCTATGACCGAGTGTCGCATCGGGATACGCATAAAAACCCATTTTGGTCGGCTCACTGTACGTTCTCTTGCTGGAAAGAGTATAGTGAAAATTAAAACATTAGGTTAATATGTTTTTATAGTTATTATAATTTACAATATATAACATAATATGAATAATTTTATTTTAAAAAATAATAAGGTACAGCAGAGTATTTTAAACTTGTCTATCAAAATGCCTAGTTGAGATTTTCAAATATTGAAATAATTTCTGTAAAAACTGAAAATATTAACATATACTTTTTCACAAATATAAAATATATAAAAAATGATACTACACAATTTATAAAAATATAAAGAAATAAGCTGCAAATTTAAAATGGTTGTAGTGGGTTTCTATCTGCCTACCAAAGAATTTTTAATATATCTGTATATTTTGTTGAAATTATGAATTAATGACTTATATTAGCGTTTTATTCTATAGAATTTATCCATCTTTTTTAGATAATAATATTATTTTATTATAATAATTCATTTTTTAATAATTTATATGCCCAAACAATAATTATTCCTTATACCTAATTCCAAAAATAAAATAAAAATATTGCCACTTATTTAAACTAAATAACTCGTTGCTTCTTAATTATTTTAATTTATTTTAGGTTGCTTATGTTTTACCAATTATACAAAAATTGCTCATGGACCCACGGATATTAGTAAAAGATAGAAATCATAGTGAACCCCAAGTTGTTATAATGGCACCTACGAGAGAATTGGCTGTTCAAATTAAAATGGTTGTGTTGAAATTAACAAGAGGTACTGGAATTTCATCATTAGTCTGTTATGGTGGAACTTTAGTCAGTCATCAAAAAAATCAAATTCTTGTAAGTAGAATGTTTTTAAATTTTAAATAATAATTAGTATACCATATTATTATGTAGGGGTAGCCCAAAATTTAATTTTGCCAGCTTTGTTAACATAGGGTTAAGTTGAAGTACGATGGTATACGTTTACTGTCTTATGTCCGTTTCTTTTAGACCTTATGACATATTAATGCTAAATCAGTTAAGATAGAGCGTCAAACGATTATAAGAAAGCTTGTCACAATTTATAGTTGAAAACATTTTTATTACATTAAAACAAACATAATAATATTATTCTTTTGTGGTCCTTGTGATAGCCGGTTGTCTCTCCTTGTACGACTGTCACACATACTCCTGTCAAACTCTATGACTGCAACAGGACTGTTCTTGAATGGGAGGTGATGTTTAAATTACAAAATATTATGTTTCCTCTACAAAATTTTCTTCTTGGGCTCTACCTATGTTAGTGACTTGCATTCCAAACATACTATATCTATATTATAATATTTCGACCTAACCTAACCTTATGCTACATATATATCTTATATATAAAGTATCATGACCTACAGTGAGTCATCATCGCCTAACTCGAACCGCTGAAGCTATGGGTATGAAATTTCAAAATTTGGACAGTAGTTTTGTTTTGTGATGTAGGCAACCGTTAAATAAGGATTTTTACAAAATCCAACCACTTAAAGGGTTAAAAGGGTCAAAAATTAAAAAAATTATAGAAAATATTTTTATAATATGTATCTTAGTCAGTGCATTATGATTTCGCTTTCACACTGAATTACACCCAAAAAGAGTTAATTAATTACTAGCTTTTTCCCGGGCAACACCGAGTAATTCAGCTAGTTATATTATAATGTTAATAGCCTACGACAATAGTATACGACAATATGTATTATATATTTTAATATTTATGCATATTTCATAATCATAAAAAATGTAACCAATATTTTTTTTATTAGAAAGGTTGTCACATACTTGTAGCTACTCCTGGTAGATTAAATGAATTTGTTCAGCATGGTTTCATAACATTTTCATCTGTGAGATTTTTTGTGTTGGATGAAGTTGATAAGATGTTAGACATTGACTTAAAACCGGATATTGATAAAATTTTAGATCACTTTTCAATGCCGTCTATTGTAAGTTTTCGTTTTCAATTAATGTAGAGTAAAATATGCTTGTATAGTATTTAATGTCTAGTGTTTATTATTTCCAGATGGATAGACAGACAATTATGTTGTCAGCAACTTTACCAGATGCCACTCAGAATTTAGCAAAATTCTATTTAAATAAAAATTATATATTTTTAGCAGTTGGTATTATTAGTAGCGCTTCAAAAGATATAAAACAAACCTTTTGCTTGGTTAATAGATTCAATAAACTTGACATTTTATTCAGTATTTTAAAAAAAGGTTTACATTTTATTTAATTGAGGATATCCTAAAATATCTATACTTAATTCATGTTGAGAAGGAACCTCGATGAAAACAACGGACTAAGATATTATATTCTATTCAAATATAGTGGCAACAAATAATTGTTGTCGGGCGTTGTCTGCTTGTAATCTCTACCAAGTCATTTGTCCCTATGCCTACCTTGTAGTTAAGAAGATGTCTGCGCACTATTTGTTTTTTCTCTCTGACCTACGCTCAGCATAGCAAATTTTATGTTCACAATAATGATTATAATCATAATAGTTTCTAAAATTAGAGTGAAAGAACCTCTTTTAAAATTTAAAGTTAAGATGCCCTAGGGCATCATAAGCGTTTTATCGTATTTAAATTTTAAAGTGAATTATGAGTATTTTAAGATGTACAAACAATTTACAATTTTAAAATATTCATAACTTGCTTTAAAATTAGAGTATAATAAAACGCCTATGAGGTGCCCAAGAATCTTACCTTTAAATTTTTTAAGAGGTCATTTCACTCTAGTTTTAGAAATTATTATGATTATAATCATTATTGTGAAAGTAAAATTTGCGTATGGGTAGGAGACAAAAAGCAATTAGCACGCTGACATCCTCTTACGTCTTACATATCCTTGTAAAATCCCTAACCAGGTTCCTTTAACATGACTGAATTATATAACTTATAAGTATAAATAACAAAAACATTTAATTATTTGTTTTGTAGATTCAGTAGGAACTATAGTATTTGTAAAACAGAAATGGACAGCAGATTTCCTGGCTACATATCTATGCGAAAAGCATATTCCATCAACAAGTATACATGGTGATCGATTACAAGATCAGAGAGAAATTGCTTTAAATGATTTTCGTAACAGAAAGATGAATGTACTTGTAGCAACAACTGTAGCAGCAAGAGGATTAGGTAAATTTATTTAGCATTAATAGGTTAAGATTAATTTGACAGAATATTCTGTCTAATAAAATAATATCTTCTTACAAAGGATACAATATCAATCATTTACCGCCTCCTATTATACAGACAATATAGAAAAAAAATTTGATTCAATGAGTTGTAGGCTAAAATAAATATAAAATCACTCATTAATTTTGAAACTAGCAATGACTTATTTTTATTAAATATTAAAAAAAATTAAGAATGGTTTTTATAGTTAAATAATTCTATTAGTTATATAATCATTTTTAAATTTTTTAGACAACACCTTTCCAGTGGACTATTTAAATAAAACAGAATCTATAAAAAAATTATTTATCAATAGAGTCGTTTGCAAAAAATAATTTTGACATTTTTATAACTTCATTAATAATTTGTTGATAAACTTTAACTTTTGAATCTTTAGATATAAAATGTGTGAACCATGTACTTAATTATGACATGCCTCTGGATATTGAAGAGTATGTGCAAAGAATTGGGCGTACAGGTAGAATAGGAAACAAAGGAATTGCTACATCTTTATTTGATCCTGATGAAGATTATCTTTTGGTGGATCAAATTATAACAATTCTTGCATCAGTAATAAATCTTATACTTGTCTTTTTTTAATCCAATTCTTATTTACACATTTTTAATTGTTTCGATTTAGGCAAATCAAGAAATACCTAATTGGTTACTTAAACTTGGACGAGAAGCCAGATATAATAATGCTAATGATGATTTGGATAAATTTGGAGGCTCAGATATAAGAATTGTAAATAATATTTATATTGTACTTACTATTGTTTTCTATATATGTAGAACCTGTGGTGTAACAGGATATGGACATTTATTTAGCTCAACATTGTTTATCATTAATTTATGTCGGAATATTTTTAATCCTTTAACTATAGATAATGTTACCATGATAACAATGTTTATTTTTTTACTAATGGATAGTTTCTTTTTATTTTTTCCAATTTTCTTCATTATAAACTGCACTTAAATGGAAATTTACATACAATTAAGTATAACTCTATGTATTTATCAGTATATGTGCTTTTGATACATTACTTTCCTTGTTTAATATTTTATGTCTATTCCTATTTTTGTGTCAAAATCATTTTTTATTTTCTATTATATTTTGGGCCATAGCTAAATGGGGCAGTATATATTGTACAAATACGTACATGTGAGTGCTCACAAGGGGGATGAGGGCGTGATGCCCCCCCCCCCCCCCTTTCGATTATTCTCTACATTCAATAAAGCTAAGCATGCCACTGATACATCTGGTGCCACGGGTTTATACTCAGTTTTTCAAATCTATTAACTGAATGCATTAATCATTAACAAAGCTAAATGCCACTAAAACATATATTGTGATGATGAAATTGATAAGAATAGTATTATAGAAAATTCAAAAGCGTTATACTACCTACTAAAAGAAAAAGACAGATTGGCATTTTAACATCTGCTGAATGTAGAAACATTTTAACTACAGTAATATGTTTGCATACTTACCTTTAAATATTGTTTAAAACCTAATTAAAATGTATTAATATAAGTTTTTATTTTTATTACCATGTTTAAAATTATAAAAATATGCCAGAATATGGTTTTCTGTTTTATCAATAGTGAAGCAAAAAATGTTTGAGTTATTTATTTTAACAATAAAAATAATGGTTTTGTATTTTATCAAACATTGATTTGTTGTAAACTTTGAAGTAATGGGGTTTACTTGAATAATGTTCTTATTGTTAAGTTGATGATTAATATAAATTAGTTTAAAGACATGGGCTTCAATTTATAAATTTGATTAAAATATTTGAATATTAATTAAGTATTAACTACTATTAAGTAATTTACTCATATCGTTTTAAAATGAAATACCTATTGGAGTAATTCTAAACTAACTTATCATATTTTAATATGTTATAGATTGGCATCTTCTTTCAAATATAATAAATTATCAAATTAAATATATTAAATATAAATGAATGTAAATAAATATCAATTATAAAATTGTATTTTATTTGTGATTACAGATATCAAATTCAGTCGACGAATGCGAAGAATGGTGAAGAATGGCAAAGAATATTCAATAATTATTGTTTTGTTCTATATATTTAATAACAAATCTAAACAAATAAAATGTCATATGATATTCATTATTCTCATTAAATTCCTGAGCCAATAAGAATTACTTTATCATCTATAGAGTTGCAATTTCTTGATTTTTAATCAAGTAGGATGTTAATTTGAATGAAAAAAACTGAATTTTGAAAACTTCAAGAGTATGGTAAAAAATAAACTAATAAAAATATAACTCAGTAGTAATGAGTTTATGGGTAATTAAGTTAGCTTTAATATAACTATATATATATATACATGAATTTGTCAAACTTTGGCCTAAACAATTAAGTGAACTAGGAGGTTTTAGGCTCTAGCTCATGTCAATATAAAAAGATGTGTACAAAATAGGCAATGATGAAATTAATAAAATACTCAAGTCTAGAAGCACGCTATTACTGAATAAGATTAATTATATAAAGGAGGGTGATGTGGGGGATAGGTCCCCTATACACTTTTGTTTTTAATTTTTATAAAATAGTCTTCTTAGTGTTACACATACAAGAAACCATAAAAAAATATTAAATAAATTATGTAGGTACTTCAGTAGTCTATAAATGTTTAATTTATGGGGCGCGAAGGTATGCTAACTGAAACTAGTACAACAGTTATTACGAAAAAAAAATTTTATCGCTATTCCCTCAATTATAATCTTTATATTTTACATGCAATAATCTAATATATTATGAATATAGTATAAAATAATACTGAATTTTAATATTTATAGACACTATACCTAATTATATATTAGTATATTACTGTCCAAATTTAAACTTTTATGAGGAATCTTGAATTAAATTTTCAATTTTTTATTGTAAGACGGAGACAACAAATGCCCGTGTGGTGTCCTCAAAAGGGAATCCGGAGTATAAGGTAAGGTGCTAAGGTCTTGTTTATATACCTTCAGTTTATCAAAAAATAAACCAACACGATACGTGACAATACCTTAGAAGACTGCTGGTTGCATTTACATTCCATCCTACAGGTGGACAACTTAAGAGTACATAATTAATTTTCATAATATGAAAGGTGTATTTGCCCTAGTCATGAAGATATGACTATTTTTATTAAAGTATGCCACTTCAATACAACAAGATTGTCGTTTGGATCATATTAATGTAATATAATATTTTAAAGGCAGAGCTCATAAAAGTATATATAACAATGTAGAGTGGAAAATCTCTAGACGTTGTAGTTTTAATAAGATTGTATAATTAATCTCAAATTACAATAAAAGACAAGTTTCTTAAGAAATGTACACATAATGTGACGAGAGTTATATAAATTTTTTTTTCTCACTTGATTCCACACAATTTAAATTCTATTTTCAGAAAATATTTTGAGGTTTAGTATAAATTGAAAAAAAAATAATATGAAGCTTATTGCGTTAATAACAGTTTGATGTTCAATCATTTCCAATTTGTAGTTCTTTCCATCGTGTTTCAAGGTCCAAGAATTTTTGTTGTAGAATTTTCTCTCGTTCTTTTTGACGGTCTACATCATCAGTTAATGACTAAAATATAATTCATCATTAAAAAAGAAATCTGATTAATATTTTAATAGCGATTATTATGAAATTATTGTTTAACCTGTTTAGCTATATTATATACTTAACAAGTTAACAGCAAATAACGATGAACTACAAAAAAATAAATAAATAAAAAATGGTATATTTAAAATCACCTGTAGTCGTTTTGGTATAGCAGATTCCTCCTGTCGTTGCAAAAACTGGAAAGTTGATAATTCTAAATGTCCTTGTTCAATCTCATCCACGCTGGTTATGAATTGTTTGATAAGACCTTGAGAACGAGTCTAAATAAACAAAATTGTTGAAAACAATAGTATATTATTAACATCATTATGATTTATTCATATTACTTACTTGATATCCCCCGAGAATAATTTTAATTTTCTTTTCCATTTTTCCAGCTTTTTTAGCTTCTTTAGTCATATGGCCTCTATTCTGTTCCAGTTTCTTTTCAAGCGATTCAATCCTATCTTTTTTACTAGCTAAATTTGCTCTTGTGTAACGATTTTGATTGGGCAGAAAGAGTACTTGGCCCAAACATTCACCCCACACTTGAGTAAACGAGTCTAATGATAATTCTCCATGGTTCATACCTTGTTTAACAATTTCCATTTCTTTTATCAAAACTTGTTTCGCCTAAAACAATATTTTATGAAATAAGTAAATAAATAATTTGTTTACAATTGTACACATATTATTTCATTGCTTCTTTTCTAAATCTGTAAATACATATATTTTTAATTACATTTTCCATTTCTTCTTCAGTGAATTGTTGGTACGGGTGGGCCTGTAAATAAGCTAAATGCTGAGTTTCAGTTAGGATTGGCTGTTTTTTGGGACCACTTTGAGTAAGTGTAGCGACTTCTGGTGGTAAAGGGCTACGGACAGCATCATAATGAAGCATTGTAATCATTTCTTGTTTAATCAATTCTTCAGCCTACATAACAAATTAAAAATATATTAAAATATTAAATAATATAATAATTAACTAATATTTTTTTAATATAATATAATCACCCTTTGAAGATCTGTAAGGGGTGGCTCTGAATTCAAAGGTCTCAAAACAATATTAGTATCTGGTGGGCGAGGTAAACATCGTTGGATTACTTGAGATCGCAACTTCATTTCTAATTGGCCTGGAAGTATATAAGTTATAAATTTCAATGCATTTACATTTTTACCGTAGTATAATAGGGCCAGATCTAAAATAGAGAAACTGGGCAAAGGCTCATATTTTGAGTGGAAATTATTTTTATTTTATTTTATTTATTATTTTAAACGTCATACGGCTTTTATAAAATAGTACATAGTAATGAAATATACATAATAACATATTTATATATGTGCAAACACATTATGTTATATTGATGTATTTTTATTTTATGATTTGAACATTAAGGACATATCAGCTATGTAACAACCAAATCCAAGTATGTTTTGTCATTTCATGTTAAGAACAAGAATAATTAATAAAAAAAAAAAAAAGCGGGTAAGTAAAAGTAGCTCTCCTACGCAGTAGGTTATAAGTGGGTGACTAATGGATGGTGTTAAATTTTAATTCAATGATATAATATCATTGTATACAAAAACGATAATGACCGGAGATGTTTGTCATCCTAGGATATTTTATATTATATTTATTAATACGGTAGCCGGTTAAGTTGAGTTATTATTATTTGTGTATACTAAATTATCATATTTAAATGCTAATAAAAAAAACTATGCCTATGTATTTTTCAACTGCCATTGTAACAATAAATATAATTATAATATGATGTATGGAAAATGCTAATATAAATATTCAGTGAAAATTCCATGTATCTACTTTCATTTGCTTTACAGTTACACCATAATCTAAAATTGATTTAGTCAAAACCCGATTTCTGAACAATTCCTGTTTTTCTTTAATTTTTTTTTGTTTTTCCCGATGCTTTTGAAAACTACTGGGAATTTTTTACTTTTGACCCCCCAAAGTACCAACTATCACTAACTTATAGATTCATTTTTACTTTCCTAAAAGATGATGACAGACAAAAAAAAAACAAAATCAATGTAAAATCTAAACATTCATTGATTTGCTTAGAATCTAAAATGAGTTTCATATGAATATCAACTTACAACAGTTGAACAAAACACAATTTTTAGAAATAGTTGAAACTACAATATATATATTAATATATTATAAATATTATAATAAAATTTATATTAAAAACTGCCAATTTCATTAGCTAAGACCTTTAAGAAGTCAACAAATATTACCAACCATTTTTTTTTACCTATATTTATCTAAAATTCATATAGTATTATAATGAAATATTTAAAAATTAAGTTACAACTAACTTATTTCAATGAAAATTATCATACTTCATTATTATACCCAGGTGATGAAACTTAAAATTCTTAGATCCAACCATACTTATAGTACATATTATATGATAGTTATAAAAATATGAGTATATTTTTAATGATACTTACGGCGAGCAAAAAGTTCTTCAGCACTACGCATCTCAACATCAGACTGATCTTCAACAAAATCTTTTTGGACAACAGTTTCTTCGTCTTCGGGGTGGTCCTCAGGCACAACTATTTCAAAATCATTTTTTGGATTTGGCAATGTACTTAAGCCCGCTTTCAACTGTTCTTTTACTTGATGTTGGTAGTTTTTCATAGCTTGGGGTGTATTTATAATGTCGACTTCCATAGAATCTGAACGATTGATGCTTAACTGATCTCTTAGAGGAGTAGGTGTCAGCATACCAGCTTTTACTAGTGATCTATCACTTTGCGGAGTTTGGAATCCATCACTAGCAACTTGTGAAAGTGGAGTACCTAAAATTGTATTAGGTGTTGTAATCAATTGTCGTTGTGGGGTGACACCATTGAAATCAACATTTTGCAATTCTGTATTAAGACCTCCTTTGAGAGGAGTATCTACATGGGTTAAAGCCATAATATTTTGAGCGTCCTATAAAAAGTAAATTAAATTGTGCGCATTAATATAGATATAGCATATCAGTATATGAAAGAAAAAGCTTTGATGCTAATCTTAGCAAGAGGAGTTTTAACAGGGTTCAGCTTTGAATCTTTACTTATTAGTGGACATTGAACTGTGTTGTTTCCATCTTACGAACGCACAACAAGCACATTTTAAGTTTAGAATAATCCATTTAATTATGTTATTCTTAATATTAGATTAAATTAATGTGTTATACAATTTAAAGGTTAGACTGTTATTTAGGGTAACACATAGATTTTTTTTTTTGATATTTTAATTTTAAAACAAGATATGGGTATTTTTAAATAATACATTTTTCTGAAATTTAAAACCCATATAACTTGCATTAAAATTGAAATATCAATAGAAGCTTCCTTGAGGTAACTGGATGATATGTCATGTGTTAGTTACAATAAGATTCAAGTTTTACCTTAATATAGAGATAATGCAAGAGTATATAATGTCTTAAGCTTAAAATTAATTTCAAATTACTTGTAAAACTTTGTCAGTTGAAACAGATGGGGTTCTTGGAGTGCGGCCAGGAATATTATTAATTGAAGGGGTATAATCTGACAATAATGCATCTGAAGCTTGTTGAGGACCATTTTCCATTGCTATTTCTCGTGCCATTTCACTGGCTCGTCCTAATTTAACGACTTGTTGCAATTCCTTTAAAACAATTATAGTTTATAATTTATTATAAAAATATTTATAATAAAAATATAGATTATTACTTGATCAGATATTTGTGGTTCTGGTAGAACAAGTTTACTCATTTTTCTAATAGGTTCTTGATTATTTAACATAGCTAAAGGAACTTCATTTTCCTTACGCTGCTTGAGCTTAGCTTTGTCTTTCTTTCTTTCTCTCTAAAATACAAACACAATTAAAAATGAATTCTTAAAAATTACAATAAATCAATTACCTCTTCAATTTCAACACGTAGTTCTCCATCTAAATTTTGCTGCCTCAATTTTCTGAAATCTGGTGCAAGTGGATCAACATCTTCATTGGCAGTATCATAAAACCCTAAAGCTGGTTTTTTCTCAAATGGTATTTCAGCATTATAGTCTATGCCACGCTTTCGTTTGTTGCCTCTTCCAACACCTATACCAGCAGCACGCAATTCCCTCCGTTTCTACAAAATAAAAATAAATTATTTTCATCTACATAACAATTTTATAAACAATTTGTAAATTACTTGTAATGCAGCAAGTCTTCTTGCTTCTTCTAATTGCTTCTCACGAGCTTTACGTTTTGCCTTTTTTCCCTGTGTGTTGGCTAAACGAGCTCTCGCTTCAGATAACATTTCCAACTCTAGAAAATATTTTATAATGTTAAACTTATAATAACAAGCAGTAAATAACTTGTATATGATTTTAAGCTATATAAATTTACTTCTATAGACTTTAACCTGAATAAAAATTCTATTTTAATAAGCCCTATGATGAGCCACTAAAACAAGTAGCAGTAAGAATGGATGTAAACAAAATATTTATTGTTCAAAGTACACTTTTATAAAAGTCAAAATGTAACTTTTAAAGCAAATACTCATAACTCGGTTAGTTATTACTTTAGTAGGTTCATAAAGTTAAATTGTAAATACTTCTATTTTAATACTTTTATGTAATATCATCATAATATTTGAAGTCTTACTTTTTTTTTTTATGACAGTCTGTTATTAATTTTAATACAGAAGCAGAATATTTTTAAATATAAATGACAGATATTGGACTAATATTATTTATAAGTATTTAAAACTTAGATGAGCAAGGTACTGAAGAACAGTTCAACAGCATAAACCTTATTGTTCTCTTAATTTTAAAATGCTCCTTAAAAATAAATTAATATTTATGCATTCAAAATTAGTATATAAACTAGTAATCACCGTCTTCATCCATATCTTTAGGATCGGGACGAGCTGGTTTTGTTTCAGGATTTGGATCAATTTCACCTGGTTTTAATTTTCTTGGATCATCGCCCACTTCCTCGCCATCTTCTTTCCTTTGAGCTTGATCTCTGGAAGCATTATGAATAAATTATATCCAACAAATAACATTTAAATAACAGCTAATAAATATTAAATAATATTTAGTAATATTTACTAACAATAAATATTCATATCTTTCCAAACACTGTGAAGCTGTACGACCAACGATTGGAGCAATGGTACGCCATTGTGTAGGCATGAGTTTAGCAAGATGTAGAAGCTTTTCATCTTCCTCTCGACTCCATTCAGTTTTTTTGATACTTGGATCAAGCCATTCAAACCAACGTGCCTTACATTGTTTGGCTGATTTACGATGTAATAATGATGCAATACGTGACCATTGATTTTTGCCATATTTCATAACAGCTGCTTTAAGAATCTCATCCTATAAAAAAAATAAATTGTTAATAAAAATAAATAAGGAAAAATTAGGTACACATTAAATATCATTGTATATGTAATTGACCCTTATCATTTAAATCTATTAACTCGACATTCATTTTATGTGACTTCTGATTTATTTTGGTTTGGATGTAACTCCTGTATTTATTTTTTAAGCTAAAACGATGTGGTTTGGCATTCCATAGATTTAATAAAACTATTATTTTGATGGTAGTTATATTTTAATTAAATTATGATTTTTCCATAAAAAATATATATAGGGTGTAACAGGATGACCTAACAAATAAAATAACTTTTGTTCTAAATAATTCTAATCAATATGTTTTAATTGTTTTTTTCTATATAATTTACAGAGCTTTGTGGTATACGTAAAAAATAACTTTTCATTTTTATGTTTTAAAACTGAAAATAAAAAAAAGACTAAATCTGATAAAAATTTTTTTGAAAAATTTAAAATAGCCAATTTGTAAATCTGGTTTAAAGAAAAATTTTGATTCTAAAAACTAAAAACATTTACCTACTTAAGTTGTGTAATTTATTTTTTAAAATCTCATTATTTTTGGGAAGTAAAGTTGATCCAGTCATAAAAATATTTTAAATTATAAAAAAATTAAACTTTTAAAATATGAAATTTTTTAATTAGTTGTTTATTAAGATATAAATATTATTAAAAAAATTTAGGTATTACTTTTCAAAGCAATGAGTTTACTTCAAAAAAATTTTTAATTTTAAAAAATAAACCACTTGACTTAAGATTAATCGAGAGATTAATGTTTTGCAGTTAACATTTTTCTAAAAACCAGATTTACAAATCGGCTATTTTCAGTATAAAAAATAAAAATAAAAATGTTATATTATACATGTATCACACAAATGAATAATACAAAAAAAATTTTTAATATTGATTAGAACAAAAATTATTTCATTTATCAGGTCTCCCTGTTATACCATGTATAGTTGCGTTTAAAAGTTTCCACTATATAGACTTGTAGGGAATCATAAGTTGTACTCAATAAAAAGTTAATAGACATTTTTATAATTTGCAGTTTAAAATAAAAATGTGTTCAATGCATCTTATTAATTTACTGATTGGTACATAAAAAAAAAACAATGAGCTCAAGGCATAACATTTGACTACTGGCAGTGGCGTATTTACGGGGGGGGGTCCCCGGGTCTGGACCCCCCCCAGAAAAAAATATAATATAATATAATTATTACATCGTAACTCGTATGTGTTTTTTTTATATTATAAACTTGTAGGTACCTAATATTTAGACCCCCCCACAAAAAATTTCAAAATACACCACTGACTACTGGTAAACAGGGTTTTTTTTTATTAAAAAACTGCATAAGAATTTTTTCAACCTTATGAGTACTATTCTCATATACCTATACAATTTCATATTTAGATACAAAATGGAAATCTCCGATCAAGAAAAGGGTTTTGAATATAAAGTAAATTCAATGCATTAAAGTCGCAAGGTATAATAGTTTTTTAATTCAGCAGTCAAAGTGTTGACGATATTAAAATTTTTTAGATTTTTATGTAAACACATATAACATCAAAAACAAAATACTATATTTTTGAACTTCTCAAACTGAAAGATGTGGTATATACAGTGTGAGACGTAATAATATAAATGTATTACACATTGGCAATATTATTTCGTTTTATAAACCAACTCTGAATCTACAAAACTAATTCAATCACAAAGTAAGACCCTAAGACCTTACTAAGATGTGCTCTGTTTACGTTAATTTTCGTAAATGTTTTAATCTCACCTCGGTGTTTCGCCAAACGCCGCCTTTTATCATGATTCGCGGCATCTTTGGTAATGTTTTTAGCAGCGGCTATTCAGTATTAATTACACGACACACGTGCGACGCCAGCACGAAACTAAAATATAAACTTAATAATATACTTATTTTTGCCCGTCACCTAACGTAGCATGTCATAATATGAAATTATAAAAAAACCGAACGCGGAACGAGACTACGAGTCACGAGAGCTTATCAGTTATCAGTTGAATACAAAACTCCAGAACGACTCACAGCGCTTTCCTAGCCACGGTGGCGTTTAAATGAACTAATAGAGTGTCACCATCACAGAAAATCCTATAGGTACTATAAAATTACAAGGAAAACTGTAGTGGTCTACGGTGTACCAATAGAACGGAAAACGCCGGCTATGGTGAATACGTGTCGTAAAAAATTAAACACCGCTCCGTCTTCCCAGTCAGCCGGCCATATCCCGTCGATTCCTTATAGCGCGACTAATCGCGTACTTTCGCGGCGGTCGGTTTTAAAACGTTTTTCGTCATCACCTCTTTTCTTAACAATTTTCAAGAAATTTTCAGAAATTTAGATTTTTTTTACACGATTTCGATCATTTTCGAGCCTTTTTATTCTTGATTCGCGTGGCTCGCGATCTCTCGAAGCCGCCGGTGTGCGGTTTATATTCGTGCGCCGTCCGTGGCGGTCGCAAATCGCAATGTCGATGGAAAAATACGCTCCCGGCCGGCGTATTAGGAAACCCAGGACGCCACAGAGCGTCTTATGTATACCACGTTCTCATTGGCCCATTTCAAATTGCCCGCTTTTTTTTTATCATTTATCAAATAATTTAATTTAATTTAATAATATAATATTAATTTAAATATTATATTATATTATTTAATTTAAACAAATTAAAATAACTATTTAGTAGGAAAAGGTATCTAACTAATATTAAACAATATTATTATGTTATTATAATTCAATAAATTAATGTAGAATGTGATCTCTACACAGTTATTTTTATTTTTTACTTTAGTAGGTACCTACCTCAGAGTGAACATTTCTTACTGGACTAAGTGTATTGTACTTGTACACACCTTTTGTGTTAGCTAAAAAGATTGTCTAGATTCTTCCTAACATAGAAACAAAATACCAATCTTACTTAAATGTTTTATTTTTACTAAAACATAAGATTCTTAATTAAAATAGGTATTCGTACCTTACTAAAATTTCATGCTCTAACATTAATATATATATTTTATTTTAATAAAGACATAACTATTTTTAGAGGAACGAATTGAACTAGTGTTCAATGATTATTTTAATAATATATGGAATGGTAGCTACTATGAAGCTAACCAAATTAGTATCCAATTAAAGAAATAGTTGTAACTTCACATGAATGGTGCAAACACAATTTTGTACGTCTAGTTTGGTAGTCTAGTTCATCGATGACTGAAAAGCCCTGTTATTATTTTCAATTTTATATTTGTAGGTACACTACATTACTACCTACATCAGCAGTGGTTTATAAATAATATTTTTTTACACATTTATAATTAAACTAATTCAACCTTTTTAAAATGTTATGCAAGTATTAAGTAAACAAATATTAAGGTAGGTAAAAAATAATACATACATGTCTACCTACATAGTCAGAGGTAGGTAGGGGTTACACGATCATTGAAAATATATAAATATTAGACAAAAAAAAAAAATTCGGACCCCCTTCAATTTCAGAACTTATTTTTCCTATAAAAAAAATAATTTTACTTCACACATTTTAAAATTTAGATTAAGAATAAACAAAAAACAATGAAATTCATTATAGCAGGCTTATAATAATGTTTTCAATTGATCAAGTTTAAGTAAAAGTTTAATACTATTAATAATTTAACCCAAATTACTACTAAAAAAATGTACATTATATTATTATATTTATTATAACGGTTCACGGACCACCAAGATTATAAGATAAAAGTGGTCTGTGGACTATAGGTTGGGAATAACTGTTTTAGTGCCTGTAGTCTGTAGATAGTAAATGATATACAATTTTCATAGTTCTGCCATTTTCAAGATTTTTGGATCATCCCTTCTTGAACACAGAGGCCGCTTGATCATGCATTTTGTGGTTCACGGAACCGCCAAAAAGTTTAGGGTGGGTGTCATTTTAATAGGTAGGTATACTTGGTCTTAGTAATCACTAATCAGTGTCCGTTATAGCCGTATAGGTAATATAAAAATGGTTACAATCACATACATTAACTTATCAACTTGTGAAGTTATAAACATAAAGTACTTTTATGTAACATTATTTTGATATCCGAAAATCGCAATCAATTGTATACTAGAATGTCTATTGAATTATAATAATATCGTTATATTACTGAACTCTTATCTAATGTGAAATCGACAAAGATTTATTCAACCTACAGACATAATTTATTTACATTACCTACAGTAATATAAATAAATTATAAAACATCATAAGAAACAATTATTTTTAGAATTTAATGATTTAATTATAAATTCAAACTAAAATCATCCATTACATTTACAATATGTATTAAAGTGACTTCTTACATGCATTAAGAGATGAACTTGAAACTTACAATACAACAAGGAAACTTCGCCTGTTCCTTCACTACCTACAAATTGTTAAAGTTAAAAAATAAACGTACAATACACATTATATATTAAATTTTTTTCAAAATTCCACCATTCCATTACCTATCGATGATATTATAGCATCAAATCGAAAAAATTAGAAAGAGCCATTCTACCTTTTCGGGTGTTTTATAAAAGAGGAAAAAATTAAAAAATTATAACAAATGTGTAATGCACACAATGATCTTGTTGAAACTTAAGATGACCTATATAATATATTATTTCATTGTGTAGGTATTAAAGTAGTTTAACGTGTTTCGGTGGAATATTATAAATTATAATATACCGACTCTATGTGTGGAGTGTGCGAATAACACCTAGCGCGTCTTCTAAGTACCACTCACGATTTTTAACAGTACCTATTAATGTTTATCTACCGCTGAAGCTCAAACTTACGGCTCGGGGTTTGCCGCAGAGACGTCTACATGGTTGCACGTTTATTTCAGTGTGTATTCGGCTATTTCCATATCACGATGCAGAACAAATAACATTATCCGCAGGCATATAACACCGAGCTGTTTGCGAATAGGAAAATACTATAATATAATTCGTAACTAGTCGAAACGGAGAGGTTTGGACTTATAATATATCGCTCATATTAAATTATGCGCACCCTTACATGGCTCGATTTTGAGGTGGTTAAACGGAAGGTGAAGTAAATCATTTGTCAACCATTCTAGAATAGATAATTTTTAATTTTTTTACTATCATGAAAATCGATGACATCCATGACAATACAATATCCACCTGCGTGACCATATAGGATTATTACATATATTTATGCAAAGCGAATGAGGTAGACAGTGGCGGACTGGGAGATTGTCGGCCCAGGGGGAAATACAGCTTAGCGGCCCTAAATATTTTACTATATTATTACTATTTCAGTTGTGATTTTATAAATAATATGAATATTTTATTACTATAATTTAAAATAAATGTAAATTTTACTTGTAGAACTATTTAAAAAAAAAAAGGTGGGCAAGTGGGTGTCGATCTGCTGTACAGTAGGTTACAAGTGGGTCACTGTATAATGGATGATATTAAATTTGAATTCAACGATATAATATCATTGTATAAGAAAAACGATTCTGAGCGGAGACGGTATGTCAGTCTTTATATTTTACAATGTTATTATTAATTATACCTGGTCAATTGAACTAATATTATAAATTACAACAAAATAACTAAAATAGTTATTAGATTCTGAGCGGAGCGAGGAAGCTATAGTGGTTACTGGTTTTACAATGGTGTTTACTTTATTTTTTTTTTTATATCCTGTATACAAAATATCTACCAGAAGGAGTGCTTTTGGAATCAACATATAGTACCTTATCTTTTAGCAAATTTTGTCAAGATGGTACTTTATAAACGTAATATTTCGATTTTCTCAATAGTTATTTAATGCCACAGGAAAAACCACCGACAAATTATGAAAAACCGCTAAAAATGGTATTTTAATTTCTAACGCTTTGTCTATCACCATAGAAAAGAATAAAAATTAATAATACCTATTATAATATAAATTCAACTTACAGGATATAATATAATAATTAATAATAACAATATCCAAACTTACAAACCGTCTTCGCTCAGAATCTTTTTTCCTATACAATAATATTATATCATTGAATTCAAGTTTAATACAAATTACAATCCTTTATACATTGATCCACTTGTAACCTACTGTACAGCAGAGTGACATCCACTTACCCACTTTTTTATTTTTTTTTATTCGTTTCCATGGTGATAAGCAAAGCATTAGAAGTTAAAGCCCCGTTTGTAGCGGTTTTTCGTAATTTATCGGTGGTTTTTCCTGTTTCATTAAATAACTATTGAGAAAGTCGAAAAATTACGACTCTAAAGTACAATCTTGATCCAATTTTCTAAAAGATAAGATACTATATTATGTTTAAATCGAAGCACTCCTTCTGGTAGAATATTTTGTATACAGAATAAAAAAAAAAAAATAAACATCAATGTAAAACCACCGGCTTCCTCGCTCCGCTCAGAATCTAATAATAATATTACAATGATATTAAATGATACAATGATACAATGATACAATAATATTATAATGATAATAATTCAACTTACAGGCTATAATAAATAATAAAAATATACAATATCCAGACTGCCAAACCGTCTCAAACTGTATGAAATAATATTAGAGTCTTAAGTTAAAATTAATATTTAATATCCAACTATCATATTCTTATACATCAAGTATACCCAGTGGCGTACACACGGGGGGGGGGTTTGGGTGTTCAACCCCCCCCCCCCCCTTTAGTATTTTTTCAGTTTACGTAATAACGTAAAAATGTATAATAAAAATATTATATTCCAAATTATACTCCATTATATTATAACTTATAAGTTATAAGCAA